AGGGTCCATGTGCAAAATTATGTTGCTGGAAGATTGTCTGGTTAAAATGAGTTTGGGGGAAATTTATTTTATAGAATCTGAACGAAAAGGGACTCAACTTATTCCCTGGTTCTTCGTCGTCCTCGAATTGTTAGGCATTTTCTGATAGTTCACTTATTATTCATGTTTGGTGAATAAATTTATCCAATTTTTTCCCCTAGCTCTGCCATGTTGTTTTTTGATCGTAAAGTATCTTGACCAAGAAGGATATGTGGGTTAGATCAACTAGTTGAATTTTGGACAAATTTTTTGGCAGATGTGACAAAGGTCCTTTGCGAGCTCGAGCTTACGATAAAGAGAGTTAAGGTATCGACCACTCCAGATGAGAAAGTGATGGATCTCTTCTTCATCACCGACACAAGGTTCTGTATGCTTTACGCAGTCTTCTTAGTTGTTAATTAATATCAGCTTTTTGGTTATTCTCCCTATGCATTTTTCTGCTCCTATTTTCTTGTTGTGCATTGCTAGGGAAATACTTGTCAATCACAGTATTCACTAAATGGTTATCTAGTTCTATTATTAGTCAGTCATCTTGATACTTTTCCTTTTATGGACGTATTTCATAATCTTTCTCCAACAAGTAAATCTAGAGAGTAGGACTCGAATGCACAGCAAAAGTTGGATCAGCATCCTGTCCTGTACGAGATGTAGATCAATTATAAGTAATTTGTAATAGAAGTCCTGAGAATTACAGAGCATGTGAGGTGAAATAAAACTACTTAATTTCATTTTTCTACACTATTTCTGAAGTAGATGTTGACTTACAAGTGAATGTCAAGTATTGTATTAAATTTGATCACTATCTACATTCAAGGACTTACTAATTAGTATGTTTCACAATTTTCTTATCAGGGAACTTTTACACACAAAGAAGAGACAAGAAGACACATATGAACATTTAAAAGTTGTTCTCGGGGACGCTATGATCAGTTGTGATATAGAAATGGTGGGCCCTGAAGCTACTGCGTGTTCACAAGCTCCATCATTTCTTCCTGATGAATTTACTGAAGAGATGTTTAACATGGACTCACCCGATGAATGCAAAATCGGATCTGTGGCTTTCAGAACTCCATCCATCACAATGGATAATTTGTTGAGTCCTGCTCACACGCTTGTCCAAATTGTTTGTCAGGATCACAAAGGCCTCCTATATGATATAATGCGAACTTTAAAGGATTATAACATCCAGGTGCGTAACTTTAATTTTGTTGATGGTCCGAAATTTTCCATCTGTATGGGGTGAATTAATGCTCGTCTCATTATACTTTTCTGAGATTATGTTTATATAACTTGAATAGAGCCCTGTGGCTTGTATTTCCTCTTGGCCTCGTCTCCTGTTTTTTTCATGTCAGTCACGACAACAAAGTCAGCAGCTTTAGAGTGCCAAATTCTTTTATTTCCTCGTTTGCAGTATTATAAGGACTTGGATATGACTGGAGAGTATAATAAAAAAGATTTTACTTTTCTTTCTTAATTCCATCTAGTGCTATCTTTATCCTCCCTACCAAACATGTCGTATGGTTTAAATTCATTCTTACATTTGTGTAATCTGTGACCGAATATTGATTTAAAGGATTTTCATACCTTTCCTGATAATTATATAATGCCATACTAGCATGCTTTATTTGCAGGAAGTGATCTTCTCGATCAGATTTCGGTTCTTTTATAACCAGCATAACTTGTTTCATATGTAGTGCTTCTAGAAGCAAGTCACGCAAATTTCTGATTGTATCACAATATGGTTTTTATCAGATTTCTTATGGGCGATTGACAACGCAAGAGAACACAGAATGTGAGCTGGACTTATTTATCATGCAAGCGGATGGTAGCAAAATAGTTGACTCAAGCAAACAGAATGCACTGTGCTCTCGTCTTCGAATGGAACTTAGTCGTCCTCTTAGAGTAGCAGCGGTCAGCCGTGGCCCTGATACTGAATTGCTAGTTGCAAACCCTGTAGAGTTATCTGGAAAGGGACGTCCCTTGGTTTTCTACGATATTACTCTTGCTCTTAAGATGCTCAATAGTGTCATCTTCTCGGTACTTCCCAAAAAGCACGCTTTACTTCCCCCTTTTTATGTTTCTTTCAAAAAATGCTCTAGCCGAATTTACCATCACGTTTTATTATGCTGTAGATGGTTGTCGTATGTGTGTCTAGTACTTTGATTAATGGCAAAACCTCTACTGTTCTTACGCGGTTAAAGCTATACTTTTGTGATGATTCTGGATGTGGAATGGATGTTTTTGCATTGAAAGCATGTTTAGCTGAGCCTAAAAACCGTGCTCAAAAAGTAACTTTTAAGAATAGGCGAAACTTGTGTTTAGCTTAAATGTAGCTTTTTAAGGAACTTTTTATCCCAAACATGTTTTCCAGTAAAGGGGGGAAAACGAGAGTAACTTCAGTTCAAAACACAACTAAAGTGTCCTACTTTTCTTCTAAGTAATACTTTTTTAAGGCTTAGCCAGACTTGCTCTAAGAAAAGAGATACTTATAAGTAGATATATTTCAAATGATATATGCTTGAAAGAGAACTTTTCCATCTCCTGGAACTAGTAAAGAGAGATGGTTCACTATGAGTCTAAAACATGCACACGCGCACACACTAATAAAGAGGAAAGATATTCATTCAACCGAGAATTTTGATAAAGGAAAAAACCGGTATATGGGTTGTGATTTTATTCGTTTTGCAAGTGTCATTTCCTGGTTTCTTTGCAAATTGATATGATCTGGTTCCCTTTTCAGGCTGAAATTGGGAGGTATATGATTGGAGATAGGGAGTGGGAAGTATACAGAGTTTTACTCGATGAAGGCGATGGTTTGTCCATCTCAAGGGAAGAGATTGAGCAGGCTGTCTGGAAGATGCTGATGAGTTGGCAGTGATCGCAATCAGACGTGGTATTTGACTGCCCGGAACACACAACTTGACCTCTATGTGGAGTAAACCGCCCTTGATCGGCATCTGTGTAACGTTGATACTTCACAATGTATATATATAATATTGCGCATATACAGGTTTTCTTGTACAACTGGCCTTTTAATGTAACGAGTAAATTTCTGTAATAACGAGAATAGAGGCAAATCTGTCTTTTGGACAATGTACTTTAATTAAAAAATTTTGGGAAAGATTTTTTTTTTATATATAATCTAGTATAACGTGCCAAGTATGTCCTTGAATAATAGTGGCATCTGCAGTCCCCCAGACATTGAACAAATATACTGGTTCGAGGGTTCTGCCAATGGCATCTTTATGGGTTACTTAAACATGTGCGAGAAAATTAAACAAATTTTAATGCCTAGAAGTGGGATTATCTTTGTTTTCAGATGAAAATCCATGATAGTAGTTAATTATAGACTATATATAAACAGAGGGCCTTGGAGGACATAACTAGCAACTGAGTGTTTAAATTACCAATATATTACACCACAAGAAAATAAGCAAACAACCAACCAACGCGACAATATCTGATAGAAAAGTGTAGGGAATTTACTTAAACATGTACAGCGGAAATAAACAATTTCAGTTCTCACCAGGATTCAGCTTTGTATTTAAATAATAACTGTAATGAGAAATATACATTTTTCTTGATTTTGCAAATTCCTTTGCGTTATTCTTTTCCGGCAACTTGAATCTGCCTCTCACAGCTGTCCAATTATCCAGTCTCCAATGAAATCCACACAGAGAATAGATTGCAACTGCTAGAATTTTTCCTCTTGTGCCAGCAAGAATAATGAAAACCTTATGAATCTCAAACCCTAACCATGTATTTATATAAATCCAAACGGGCTCGGTCCGGTCCGGACCAATATTTAATTAATCCATTTAATTAAACCCGGTCCGTGAATTAATTAATCCAATTAATTAATTCGGGGATATAAATAACCAATCAAATTAATTAATTTATCCAACGATTGCTAAATTAATTAATTGACAATTTGGAATCTTCCAATTCTCTTTTGTGTGCGACCCATTTGGTTCCCAACCACAATACCTAACGACGTGAATTATTATTTTGATCTAATCAAAACTGATAAATTAAACACCCTTTTAATTTATCACAAATTTACACTTGCCGTTCCAGATTGACATCTAGCAATGTATCAAGGCAACATATGTGACGGGAAATGTCACGTGGTATGATAAAACCAAAACTATTCGTTTACCATGAAATTATAATCTCTTCGTCAATATGATCCGATCAATTACGAGATATGGAAGTGTGTCAATCTCGATTATCGATCATATCTTTCATTCTACTATTAAATCAATATGAGTCGAAAACTTCTTTTCGACTTATATGTATACATTGGCCAAGGATTTTGTTATTGACTTAATTGAACGAAATGCAGATCACAATCTCTTACTATTTAAGAGTGACAAATTCTCTATTGGTCATTCACAACCTTCATATGATTCTTGACATACCCGAACGATGTCGTATTAGCGGCCCTTAGCATAGCAACATCCAACATCGTCAAAGTATGATTGTCTTCATATAAGGCACTATGATGACCTCAAGTCACAGGACCAATTTCACTACCGAATGTTAGAGATTAACCACTGACACTCAGATAGTTATCCATGTGGAATCTCTTAACGGGTCTCCAATGTTTTGTTCTATAACAAAACATTCACGTATTCATTTAAATGTCACCACACTTTAACTTGTGAGATCAGCTACTTACTTCACAAATAAGAAATGTCACACGTGATGGTCTATCTGTAATAACGATATCCGTATCTCGTTATTACTTACGACCACGGATTATTCAAGATCCAATCATACGTAATTTGTATCTTACAATCACAACTCTTTGTGATTAACAAATCACTTAAACTTGGATCTTCGAACTCTATTATTTATCACAAAATTAATTTAAATAAATAATAGATCTTGCCAAAATTAAATGTATTAAATATATTAAAAGTGTTTACAACCTAAATCGATTGGATTTAGGACATAACACTTACAAAAAGTGCATATGTATACTATATATTTATCGGGCTTTTAACTATCTTCATCCACAAATAATTCATGTGGTGCTTCTAAAAATTGAGGATCGGTGGGTGGGTGATTGTGCAAAAACTCTGATCAAATTGTTTCCGATTTCGTGCACAAGAATTAAGAGAGGAAATAAATGGTGAGAGATCTAGCCAAATAAAACAAAATGAGTCAAATAAGAGATCAGTAGTATCTTTTATCCAGCGTCAAATTCTTAATACACTTCACACCAAATACATATCACTTGGAGGTGTTGCGCTGGTTGGCTACAGAAAGTTGCATTCAGTACCAAAACTCCAGGCCCAAATTGTTAAATCCCACTTTCTTAAAGTCAAATTTTACTTTGATTGTGGGTTCAGTACCTATTTGACATCCATTATAGGACATGTCAAGTTTTGAGCCATTAGGATGATTTGTGACGGGACAAATCATGGGTTTTTTTAAAAGAAGCATGAAATCCAAAATGAACGGTATTATAAATCTACCTTTAATAATCAACGATGGCCACAAAAATAAATAAATAAATAAGATAAACTGTATATTAGAGATAAGAAACTTTGGATCTGTAATGTGTTCTTCAATGATTTAAAGGTTTTGTTAGGACTTGGAAGGTGGGGATTTCTGTCATTTTCAGTCAAGAAAAAGTCGAATGCATGTTGAGACTTTGTATTCAAACGCAAAAACCAAGAGAGACATCATCTGACAATCAATGTGGAAGTTTTTGGCTTTTTCTTGCAATGTATTTTGACTCACACGTTTCATTTTCCTACATAAGACTATACTTGCAAACATCTTGTATTAATAAGAATATGCTAGGTACACAGTATTAGACAGGATTAGACGGTACTGTATATAAGCGAACACTTAGATTTGCTTATATATTGCATTTCATGCACCTGAAATTCAATACAGATATAGCTTTGTTTTGAGGTGTGAAGGATAAAAACATGGTGGTTATAGCTGATAAGAGTGGTGGTGGAGGTAGTAATCCACCAGGGTTGGGAAGCTATGGCCTCCAAGTGGTAACGGGGCGATGGTTCATGGTTTTTGCATCCCTTCTGATCATGTCGATGTCTGGTGCTACCTACATGTTTGGTCTCTACTCCGGTGACATCAAATCGTCCCTTGGTTATGATCAAACAACCTTAAACTTGCTAAGCTTTTTCAAAGATTTGGGAGGCAATATTGGGATCATATCCGGGCTAATCATGGAGGTTACGCCACCTTGGGTAGTTCTTGCCATGGGTGCTGCTATGAACTTCGTTGGCTACTTCATGATATGGCTTGCAGTAACTAAAAGAATAGCTAAACCCGAAGTGTGGCAAACGTGTTTATACATATGTATTGGTTCAAATTCTCAAGCATTTGCCAACACTGGAGCATTAGTTACATGTGTAAAGAACTTCCCAGAGAGTCGGGGCGTCGTTTTAGGCCTCTTGAAAGGATTTGTTGGCCTAAGTGGTGCAATTCTTACACAACTATTCCATGCTTTTTATGGAAACAATACCAAGTCACTCATATTGCTCATTGGTTGGCTTCCGGCAGCAGTTTCATGCATTTTTCTCCCAACAATTAGAATCCTGAAGATTGTTGGACGATCGAATGAACTCAAAATCTTCTACCGTCTACTCTATCTATCGCTTGCTCTTGCCGGATTTCTCATGATCATTATTATTGTGCAGAATATATCCATCTTTAAAAGGGCAGAGTATGCAGGCAGCGTCTCGGTTGTGATCATATTACTCCTTGCCCCACTAGCCGTTGTACTCAGAGAGGAGTTCAAAATTTGGAAAACCAAGAAACAAATGTTTGATGATGCTTCTGATAATCTGAAAGTGGCGACAGAAAATCCTCCATCGATCGAATTACCGCACAATCAGGCAACACAACCAGCTACCAACAGTCCACAGCATCAACAAAATCCCCTTTCGGCAATACAACCAGATGCCAACACTCAGCATCCTGTTTCGTGCTGGAACAATGTATTCAGGCCACCGGAGAGAGGGTCCGACTACACCATATTGCAAGCACTGTTCAGCATCGACATGTTGATTCTCTTTATTGTCACAGCATTCGGGGTTGGAGGGACCTTGACCGCCATTGATAATCTAGGCCAAATTGGCGGGTCCCTAGGCTATCCAAGTAAAAGCATCTCCACATTCATATCACTTGTCAGCATATGGAATTATCTTGGAAGAGTAACTTCAGGATTTGGTTCAGAAATTTTGTTGGCTAAGTACCAATTCCCACGTCCTCTGATGCTCACATTGGTACTTCTCCTCTCTTGCGCTGGCCATCTTCTCATTGCATTTGGTGTCCCAAATTCACTCTATGTTGCCTCAGTAATCATGGGATTCTGCTTTGGAGCGCAATGGCCACTGATATATGCAATCATATCAGAATTATTTGGGTTGAAATACTACTCCACATTGTACAACATTGGTGCCGCTGCCAGCCCAGTTGGAGCTTACATGCTCAATGTAAGAGTTGCAGGCAATCTGTATGACAAAATGGCTATGAAGCAATTGGCAGCTAAAGGGCTAGCTCGGAAACAAGGCGAAGATCTGTCGTGCAACGGTACTGATTGTTACAAGTTGGCTTTTCTGATTATCACGGTTGCTACAGTAATTGGGAGCATCGTTTCTTTCGTTTTGGTGATTAGAACAAGAAAATTCTACAAAGGTGATATATACAAGAAGTTCCGTGAACAAGCCGAAAGAAGCAACCAACACTGAAATAATGGCCTCCCGACCCTGGAACCATAGGATTGAATGGTACTAGATAGTATTACTATGATCTTATCCTCATTTGTTGACTTTTTGGTCATTTTCTATCAATGCGATATGTTGTCGATGTAGTAACATGGCGACAATATACAAGTAGTCATATGTAGTTTTGTGCTTGCTTATGTGATGGTTTTGAAGATATGGCATGACTTGCCTTCTCTTTAAGGCGGTTCTTTGGGTTGGAAAAATAATCAGTTGCAGCAACGTGCAGAACAGTAAAATGCAAAAATAAAATTTATCGTCCGATCGAGTCTCATGACAGATGACAGCACAATGTCCTAAAGTGAAATTACCCGTCGATAACTACTGCGACCTCCGTGGACAATCACTCCCAGTATACAACGATCAGAAACTACTTGTGCAGCAATCACGAATGGTTTCTCAGAACTCTAAAGTGTACTCCAGAATATATGTAAAAATCCAAGTAAAAAATTCAGAATATGAGAAATCAGATTTCATTTCAGATGATTTTTTTTTTCTTTTGATCACCAATTGAATATTTCATCTAAATTGATTATTTCTTTCACATTTAATATTTATAGTATAAATATCTAACAATCTGATCATAAGCAACAGTTCATTAGCTATACATTTTGTCTTTGATGGACAACTGCAATTGCACTAACTTGTTTTCATTAACTCACAACTTCAAAATTTGTTTACGACAATACTTGTGGTACATAATGGACACCATAATGATGTCCATTATTATATTCAGTAAAATAATCCATTTGATTATTATGTCTATATCCACTATTTTAATTAAACGACAAAGTTAATGTGACAGTTTAGTTAGTAAATAACTAAATTGTGTGTCAGTGTTTTCGAAAGTCAAACTGACATTTATGTATGGAGTATTGAAACAAAGTTTCAGTTCAATGACCCAGTTTAACCAACATGAAATTTCATTAATATTTGAAAAAAAGATATCGTGGAAGGGTGTCCAAATTGTAACAAAGTATAGGATCAAGAACCTAGTGACCGACGTACAATTTCGATAAAAGTATAGCGACTTTAATTCTATAATTTACCAAAAGGTAAACTTGTATCAACTTTCCGTGGAATGAGTTTTGTACTGGCATTGCTCACTATGTGAAGCTTTGACGATCAAATTAGTCAGGAACTTCGATATACTTAGTGGAGTACATGATTTTTATGTATACTCCAAGTCTCCAATGTTGAATTGTGCCTACACTCGTAGAATTGTGTCTTGTGTGTCAATGAATACTACTATTATAGGAGTTGAGGTTATTTACGAATGTGTTGATGACATGATGACGTGAATAAAGTAATGCTCTCTTGTGATCCTAAAAACACATATCGCAGTTACCCCATAGCACATACGACAAATCATGATGCTCTCGTCTCTCTCATTGTCATTTTGGATTGATAATGATTGCATAAAACAACAAATCAATTTTGGCACGTAATGTGAAAATCCATACATCTCGCGACATTTATACATGAAATTACTTCAAGAATTTTTAGAATATATAAGCAAAACATAATACGAATCTTCAACATTTTCCAAGTCTAGTTAAGATAAAAAAAAAAAAATCAAAATAAATAAAGATTGATTGAGACGAGACTACATGGATCACCACCACTCTTGGATTTCAAGCAATAAAAAAGTGTTTTTATTCAATCACTGGCCAGATTCATTGGACTTTATGAGTTCAATTATATGGACCAAAATCAACATTTCATGCTGCCCACAAGTCACATAAAGACACTTTCAGGGAAGTCCTTGTACCGTACCTCAGGGTCAGGAGTTCATTGCAATACTAAGCATTAGCTACCATAATTGACCATGGCTCGAGTTAAAGATTTCTAACCCATGTACTTGTTGGTTGATCTTGTCCAGACACACGCCCAGTTGATATTGGTTGGCTTGGGATAGGAGCGTAAAATGAATCACGGAAGGCTAGTTTATCCTTATTTCATTGATCTATACATCGAACTAGAACTGATCATAAGCACAACCCATATTAGATCATTATCGACAACCGTAAGAGCCCTATAGAGGAAGGAACAACTCGTCCCTTGAAAAGTGAACAGACTAAGTTATTCTAGTCAAAATCCAAGGAATAAGTTTTGAATAGGAATTGAAATGGGTGAGTACAATAGACGCTCGAAAAAACTATATGGAATTCTAATATTTCATCCCTTCATCCCAGTCTCGAAATAGGTTGTGTTAGGATAGCAATTATTGCTTTCAAGTTCCTTCCCCAGCTAGTCAACCTTGTATGAGAGGGATCAAGAAGTGATTTTTTCAATAAGCTTTTTTCCCCAGAAAAAAAAAAAATAATAAATAAATCTCAATATTCCACACTTCTGATGTCCATGCAGAGTTAATCACCGATTGAAATTATAGAAATAATATAAATTTTGGTCTTTCTGTTTACCAATCTTCATTTAGACATTTTTTAGACATACCAGAATGTTCTCAGTGCTTTATATACTATTCTTCTAAAACTAGCACTTATTTGCAACAAACACAAGTTGTACAACGCAATTTGGGATTTTATGGTATATGCACGTTACAATTTCAGATGTGATTGTCTATTTTCCTTTGTTGTGATATAAAAGTGAGATTCTAAACACTAATTTTTCTTCCTTGGTGAAGGTCTGGTAAATTATTCTGTATGGACCGTGCTACTGTGACAGGGGCCGTGACAGCCTTGTGTTTGAGTAGGATTATCCATTCTGTATAGCTCTGCTTGGCCATACTTTAAAGAGATCCCTTTTTCTTGATGATGGTGATTGGGACCTTGTTGGAGATGTAAGTATTATGCCCTAGGTCCAATCAATTTTGGACATAAATACTTTTATATATAATTAATGCAATTAAATGGCAGATCTACCATACATCTCTTAGACTCTAACTGAAAACCTGGCTAACCTTTATCAATATTCTTTCGCATTATGTTTATGCATGCATTCTTTTCAATTTTATCTATTTATTGACGGATGTAAATTGGTTATAACATCTAATATGATATTTGGCAGTGGGAATGCTTAGGGCTGAACATGGTCCGGTTTAACTGAATCGAACACGAATTTTCGGATATTTATTTAGTAAGTGAATTCATCGGGTTCAAATTTAATTATAAAATCGTTCGGGTTCGGTTCCATTTAGTTCTTGGATTTCATGCAATAATTAATTTAATATTTAAAATAACGCTACATTAATTCAATTAATGATATATTAAATCTTAGATTTTACAAAATAACGTAGTTGAATCTTACGTATATTTTGCGCATCTTTTTGTTGTGTTTTTCATAAATTTGATTGTTAGAAGCAGGGGAAGATGAAGATGGCGGCTCACAATAATGAAGAGAGATATAGTCGGGCTTTCAATTCAATTTTTTTAGAACAATACAAACGACATTATGGTAGAATAATAGATTTGGATAAAATTTAGGTCAATTTAATTAAGTTGGGCTTGGACTTGGGCTGGAAATTAGAAATAAAAAAATCATATTTCGGATTTGGGTTAAATTAATTAGTTTGCAAAATTTAATTAGAAAAAAATAAAATAATTTGACTTATTTGAGATAAATAAATTAAGAAAATTAGAGAGATTCAGTTCGAATCAAAATGAGAAAATCTAAATGGGAACCTTCAGCCATTGTCTGCACCAAAAAAATAAAATAGAAAATTTCTCACTGATTGCTTGATGATCTTTTTGATTTTTCTGCGAGGAATGTCAAAGTGATGAATCTCTAATATCAATTAGGAAAATGCCACCTTGTGAAGAAAGTGAAGCCTACCTGCATTTGCATCAATTCAGATGTCGAGTGATACATGAAAGATGAATCTATCCAAAAATTATACTATAAAATAAGAACGTTGCAAGAAAATAATGATTAAGTTCTTGAAAATGTGATAGTAATACTTGCATATTTATTTGTGTTAAAATGGGTGGATCGATTCGGACAGACCTGCCTACATCAAATATGGTACCGACCGTTCATTATGGGTGTTTTTTTTTTTTTTTTTTAAGCAAACTCATTGTCCACCATCTTAACCAGTGAAGCCGAGCAAAAGAGTGGAGACATTTAACCCACTTCAACCTCTTGGTTAGGACGATGAACAATTAGTTTGTTAGTGGTGTCAAAATGGACCGAGTTATTTAGGTTTGAGATAATCTACCTCATCAAGATCAATTGAGGGGGCTCTTGAGCACTGGTCAGTTTGGGGCACAACCTGCGGTTTAACCTGTCTGCAGCTTGTGAGGCCAAGGTGGAGACTCCAGGATTTACTCATTGTAAGGTGGATACCTGGATATTAAAAAAAAAAAAAAAAAAATTGGATTGAAATCAACTTAGATTTTTACAGACTAGTGCACAAGTTGGCCAACCATAAAGAACTGTCTGTACCATTTTAACACCTCTAAGTTTACAAGGATTACAAACACATTCAAGAATTTATTTAGGGCCTGTTTGGGCCCGATTTTTTCACCCAAAAAATTGATTTTTTGACCGTTATTTCACTATTCCAATCGTCTTATTTGACTTTTTCTCTCACAGGTGGACCCCACTTTTCTCCTAACTGTCAAAAAATCAATTTTCAAAATCACTCCTAAACAGATTCTTAATATTTTCTTGAAATGTTCTCCATTTATAGTATATTTTTTTGGGTAGATAAATCATTCATGTACACTCAGAAGATGAATTATTTCCAAAAATATTACTTTACATTTTTATTACAAAAATACTAATTTAATTACAATAATATTATTACATTTTTATGACACGTGTTACAAAAATTTAACGTGTAATACAATATTACATTTTTGTAACATGTTATAATTTCGTTCAATGATATGAACGTTCTCATGCAGAAAATCCTTAACAATGACAATGAACATATTAGCCTGTATTCCATGGTTTAAACCCTTAATTTAATTGTACATCCGTCGTTTTTGCTTTATACAATATGAAGTTGAAAGCCACTGGTCACCTTTATGCAAAAGTTAAAAGATATCCCTTTTTCTTTTTTCCAAAAGTATATGTATTAAAAAAAAAAAAAAAAAAAAAATTCAAAAATTGAAAAAAAAAAAAAAAAAAAAAAAAACTCCACAAATAAACGCGACCATAATAAATTCAAAGAGATGAAAAGTTGAATGGTACAACTGGATATCATGATACATATTCAATATTGGACCAATCACGCAATAGTATCCGAGGTAATCCAAGTTCTTATCGCACACCAATGGCTACCGATAATAAAAAATCAAACATGAAAAAAATAAAGGAAACCGAAACGCTCGGAACGAGTACATACACCGGAGGAAACCTCTTGGACAATTTTTTATTTTTATTTTTTTTAAATCAAATCTTTATTAATGATCAGTTGTAGGCAACTGTTCATGGGTTTGGTTAATGAAGAAGAACTCATAGATAAGCCCAGCAAGCCCACCACCAATTAGAGGCCCGGCCCAATAGACCCAGTGGTTGTCCCAGGTCCAGCTCACCACAGCTGGGCCGAATGACACTGCTGGGTTCATTGAGGCCCCATCAAAGGCCCCACCAGCTAAGATGTTGGCACCCACAATGAAACCAATAGCAATTGGTGCAATTGTTCCCAAACTGCCCCTCTTTGGATCCACTGCGGTGGCGTACACGGTGTAGACTAGCCCAAAGGTCATCACAATTTCTAATACAAATGCATTCCATACGTTGACTCCAGCTGACAATGAAAAGGCTGCAGTAGTCTGAAAAATAAAATTACAAATGGGGTGAATGTTTTTCGTTAACTTGAGCTTTTAGACGAAGTGATTATTGTAAAACAGAGACAGAATTTTCACGCAAGAGGGCGAAAAACTCACCAAACCACCGGTGGCGAACTTGAGAAGCAAGCAAGCAACGACAGAACCAAGCAACTGAGCAATCCAGTAGAGGATACCACGGATAAGGCTAATATTTCCACCGACAAAGGCTCCAAAAGTGACAGCAGGGTTAACATGGCCACCGGAAATGTTGGCACCAACGGAAACAGCCACGAAAAGTGCAAATGCATGGGCCACTGCAGCTGCAATGAGGCCTGCCGGAGTGGTGGCTCCGTCGTCTGTTAGCTTGTTGAAGGCCATGCCTGAACCTGAGCCAGCAAACACAAATATTAGGGTTGATATGAACTCAGCCAATGCCGCCTTCAAGGCGTCCTGCTGAGTCGCCTCTTCCAGCCTCCCCACCGCTATCCTGCTGACCGGCATCTTCGAATAATTGAAAAATTAACTGGGGTACCAGAAACACACTTCCTTTGAATCTTTCTGGTGAGTATATTACTGGTTTCCACTTCTCATGCTGTTCGAGTACATATACTGATGCTGAAGGGAATGTGCTACCTGATATAGCCAGTTTCCGTTTAAAAATGGATTATACTAATACAGTACGTGTTTGTTTATTTTTGTATATTTAAATAAATATTTTGTGTCCAATCATTCAAAAAGAAATCAAGAATCATACAGTTAAGCAATTGATGGATGGATAAAGGGATTAGATTAGTGACACGACTGCGTATATAAGTGTATTTCTTTTTTCTTTTACTTTTAGCCACAACTATTAAAATGAAATTTTTTGAAAAAATAAATAAATTTTGAAATAATAAATTTTTGAAAAATATGTACTTAAAAAGTATGAAAAAATTATAGATTTATATGCAAAGTATTTCATTGTAAGAATGTCTGAATAAAAATGAGTTTGAGAAAAAAAATTATTTTAATGATTGTCAAACATATAATAGAAAATTAATGAAATCGCTTGTCCTAACACCAATAAATAGAGAGGAAAATCGCTACGTAGAATACGCTAGATTCAAAAATTCATTAACAAATTCTAATATTATTTGTGATCAACAATTTTAATTTTAATATTAATTTGTATAATTTGAAATAGTCATCGTGACTCGTTGAATGCCTATTTAACATTTTGAATTTTTAACATAAAAAAAATTAATTTAACTTTTTAAATCATGGGGAGCACCTTATGAACTTGCTAATCCTACCTACAAATAGAATTATTCTTTAGATAAACAGAATCTTTGATAAGACAAAGACATGTAACTCAAACAATAAGATAAGTTCAAGTATTTGAATTATATTATAACTTAATTGATATTTTATTTTCAAAAGAATATTTTGTGGTGTAGTGGCTGTGTCATGAGGGCAACTAAATGAAAAACTAACAACATTAATTTAATTTTTACACTTTTAATGTGAATGTTTTTATATTGAATAATAATTTGCGATTATTTAATGATGATGAAAGAATAACTCTAAGATATGATAAGACTGGATGGAACTTTACACACTCGTGTTATGAGATAAATATGACATATGTGGCGTGATAAATTTGTTAAGTATTTTCTTTACTTAGGGTCAGTTTGGGAGCGATTTTTTCATCCAAAAATTTGATTTTTTGACCGTTATTTCACTATTTTAGTCGTCATATTTGACTTCTTCTCTTACAGGTGGACCCCACTTTTTTTTTAACGGTCAAAAAATCAATTCTCAAAATTACTCCCAAACAGGCTCTTAATATACTATATCATAATTGATTTTAAGAATGAGCAATATGTCCAAAAACAATTGAAGAATCGATCAAAATTGACTACTAACAATGGAAAAAGTCGTGGTGTGTTTGGTTAATTGAGCTAGATTGAACCGATCTAATGCTAGGGTGATTCCACGTCTAAGGCAACCTTTTCCTTGGGGCTGTCTACGCATGTTCGATAAGTTTCATTCAGTATATTGTAAAATTTTCACTAGTAATTCAAATTTTATATAGTTTATCATCGAGTCTTATTTATTATTGTAAATAATTGCCGATGTAATCTAGGCCGGCGATAACGAAAATTGAAGTTGATTATTCTCAGTATATCCTCTTTAAGAGTGTGTTTGATTACATTTATTTTTCATGAAAAATATCAAATTTCCACCCAAATTCCTATTTAGAGTATTTGATTGCTATTTTTTTTCATGAAAAATATTTTCCAACTTTTGAAAATATGCTTAATTTTTCTTGTTTTCAAGGAAAACATTTTCCTTGGGTAGAGGTGATTTTTATTTTCCACAAAAGATGAAAAATATTTTCTTTTTTAGAGGCTCCAAAAGTGACAGCAGGGTTAACATGGCCACCGGAAATGTTGGCACCAACGGAAACAGCCACGAAAAGTGCAAATGCATGGGCCACTGCAGCTGCAATGAGGCCTGCCGGAGTGGTGGCTCCGTCGTCTGTTAGCTTGTTGAAGGCCATGCCTGAACCTGAGCCAGCAAACACAAATATTAGGGTTGATATGAACTCAGCCAATGCCGCCTTCAAGGCGTCCTGCTGAGTCGCCTCTTCCAGCCTCCCCACCGCTATCCTGCTGACCGGCATCTTCGAATAATTGAAAAATTAACTGGGGTACCAGAAACACACTTCCTTTGAATCTTTCTGGTGAGTATATTACTGGTTTCCACTTCTCATGCTGTTCGAGTACATATACTGATGCTGAAGGGAATGTGCTACCTGATATAGCCAGTTTCCGTTTAAAAATGGATTATACTAATACAGTACGTGTTTGTTTATTTTTGTATATTTAAATAAATATTTTGTGTCCAATCATTCAAAAAGAAATCAAGAATCATACAGTTAAGCAATTGATGGATGGATAAAGGGATTAGATTAGTGACACGACTGCGTATATAAGTGTATTTCTTTTTTCTTTTACTTTTAGCCACAACTATTAAAATGAAATTTTTTGAAAAAATAAATAAATTTTGAAATAATAAATTTTTGAAAAATATGTACTTAAAAAGTATGAAAAAATTATAGATTTATATGCAAAGTATTTCATTGTAAGAATGTCTGAATAAAAATGAGTTTGAGAAAAAAAATTATTTTAATGATCGTCAAACATATAATAGAAAATTAATGAAATCGCTTGTCCTAACACCAATAAATAGAGAGGAAAATCGCTACGTAGAATACGCTAGATTCAAAAATTCATTAACAAATTCTAATATTATTTGTGATCAACAATTTTAATTTTAATATTAATTTGTATAATTTTAAATAGTTATCGTGACTCGTTTAATGCCTATTTAACATTTTGAATTTTTAACATAAAAAAATAAAATTAATTTAACTTTTTAAATCATGGGGAGCACCCTATGAACTTGCTAATCCTACCTACAAATAGAATTATTCTTTAGATAAACAGAATCTTTGATAAGACAAAGACATGTAACTCAAACAATAAGATAAGTTCAAGTATTTGAATTATATTATAACTGAATTGATATTTTATTTTCAAAAGAATATTTTGTGGTGTAGTGGCTGTGTCATGAGGGCAACTAAATGAAAAACCAACACCATTAATTTAATTTTTACACTTTTAATGTGAATGTTTTTATATTGCATAATAATTTGTGATTATTTAATGATAATGATGAAAGAATAACTCTAAGATATGATAAGACTGGATGGAACTTTACACACTCGTGTTATGAGATAAATATGACACGTGGCGTGATAAATTTGTTAAGTATTTTATTTACTTAGGGTCAGTTTGGGAGCGATTTTTTCACCCAAAAATTTGATTTTTTGACCGTTATTTCACTATTCCAATCGTCATATTTGACTTCTTCTCTTACAGGTGGACCCCACTTTTCTCTTAACGGTCAAAAAATCAATTCTCAAAATTACTCCTAAACAGGCTCTTAATATACTATATCATAATTGATTTTAAGAATGACCAAAATGTCCAAAAACAATCGAAGAATTGGTCAAAATTGACAACTACTGACGATGGAAAAAGTCGTGGTGTGTTTGGTTAATTGAGCTAGATTGAACCGATCTAATGCTAGGGTGATTCCACGTCTAAGGCAACCTTTTCCTTGGGGCTGTCTACGCATGTTCGATAAGTTTCATTCAGTATATTGTAAAATTTTCACTAGTAATTCAAATTTTATATAGTTTATCATCGAGTCTTATTTATTATTGTAAATAATTGCCGATGTAATCTAGGCAGGCGATAAGGAAAATTGAAGTTGATTATTCTCGGCATATCCTCTCTAAGGGTGTGTTTGATTACATTTATTTTCCATGAAAAATATCAATTTTCCATCCAAATTTCTATTTAGAGTATTTGATTGCTATTTTTTTCATGAAAAATATTTTCCAACTTTTAAAAATATGCTTAATTTTTCTTGTTTTTAAGGAAAACATTTTCCTTGGGTAGAAGTTGTTTTTATTTTCCACAAAAGATGAAAAATATTTTCTTTTTTAGGTGATATTTTTCATGTCAATCAAACACACTTTAATTATTTTTTAAGATGCAAATAAGCAACAATGTTTGACTGAACCGGTTCTTTAGGGGATTTGGCACATTTGGGGTCCCTAAGCAAATATTGTTTTAGGGGTCCCACTGAATTAGGTGAGATTATAAAATAATGTCTTTAAAAAAATTATCAACTACGTGAAAATAAAAAAAATGCTTAACCGTTGAAAGTTTTGAGAGGGAACCCCCAAAATTTTAAATTTCGTCGTCTGATTAAAAATTAATAGATAATTTAATAATTAATGACAGATTAGCCCTTGCTAATTTCAGAAAGCCATTGCTTAATCTGTCCAAAGTGAGCAATCACAATGATTATAACTAATAAAAATTAATTAGTGGTTATCATGAAATATTTGCTATTAAATTATAAATTCATTAATACAAAATATTTAAAGGGTGTATTCAATTGGAACTTTCAAAAACTTTGATGGACTTTTTTTAAGTGATGACTTTTGTGGATTTCGTGGATCTTTCATAAATTTGTATGGAATTAATAGAAGTCTACGAAAGACTTCTATGAACTTTCATTTTAAAATTTTTATAGACTTTTGAAGACTTCCATCTGAAATAGAATTCACGCGGATCTAGTACAACGGTGAGAAATTCTTATATACAAGGTGTTAGTTCCCACAATTCTCCTTCTTCCCATATAATAAAAAAAATTGAAAAAATAAAAATTTCAGATCTTAATTAAATAAATAATAATAATAATTATACATATATATGATTCAATATTATTAGTATAGTATACTTTAAAAAAAAATAAAAATCAATATATTTAAATTTAATTATAAATTTTTCATATTAAATTTTATAATTTAATAAAAAAATAGACATTTTTCAAAAAAAAAATGAATGAGAAAACCAAAAAAAAACCAAGAATCAAATTTAATTTTTTTCAAAGAAAATGAGAGAGAGAACGAAGGATAAATGGAAATAAATATAATCAATAGAAAAAATAAATTTTAATCATACATGTTCATAGAAATTTAAAGGAAAAAAAGATTGGAAATTATTATTATTATTATTATTATTATTTTTAGAATCTTCCAAAATCTCTTGATTAATGAGAGACAAATTTTAAAATTTTATATGAGTATTTTCCGCTTAAAAGTTAGTACTCTAGAGAGTTTTATAAAAGTCTCTAAAAGTCATTAAAATTTGAATATTTCAAGACTTATAGAGACTTCTAAAAATTTTAATTGAATGCACCATAACTTTTAGAGATTTTTTAATTGTAAGTAAAAATCGCCAAACCGGAAATCGAACCGAAACCGCATTTTATAAACCGTCGATTTGGTGCCACGTGGACCCGGTCAACGAAATTGTTTTGACCCAAACCAAACCGGTTAAAATGGTTTGGTTTAGGTTTGAAAATTTTAATTGCGGTTTAAAATCAAGCCGGACAGGCAAAAAAATATATATAAATGAAAAAATGAATTTTTTTGAAAATTCATCCAAATATGTAAAATTCAATAGTTTCATTTGTGGGTATTTTTGTCAATTTCTAATACAGATATATTATTATTATCATCATCCAATAATCCTAATATATATCTAATAGTCTCAAGACTAACATAATCTATCAAAAGTCATTTTCCTTTTCAGAATTTAGATGAACTCTAGCCGACATCCAACACGGTCTTGAGCCACCGACACCACACACTTCTTTTTCAGATTTTTCACGCTTCTTCAAAGTTGAATAGTAGTCTATTATACCAAATCGGAGACAAAGAGATTCTAAACATTCGGTGATAATATTTGTTACAAATAAAGTTTCATATCAATAATTTTTTTGGAACAAATTAAGGTAAGAATTTAAAATTAAATGCGTTTCGTAACATCATACAAACGTATACTTATGTAATTGTTATATTTAGATATTATAAATAATTGTTTAATGATTGTGGTTGGTTATTATCTTTGTCTAATCAGTATCCTTTTTTTAGATATGATGATCACGAGATCTTATTGAACATCATTATATTTTTTGAGCCTTATATCTAATTTAGTAGACTTATATTATAACGTTATTATATCGTCATTAGCCTAAAAAAGGTGAACAAAAATGAAAAAAATTATGTTTTAGTTTATTGTAATTTTTCTTTGATTTAGTTGGTATTTAAATTTATAGTAGATATATTTAGCCTCTGTTTGAGCCATATTTTTCATATCATCATAACGAAAAAAATGATCGTTGGAGAGGAGGCTAGGTCCCACCCATGAAACAACAGGTCAACAAAGGCGGTTGAACTTGTGGGATAATGATCCAAATTTTCATTTTTTTGTTTCAAAAATTTGGTTCAAACAGGGGTTTAGTTTGTATTAGATTTATTGCTAGTAAGATATAAATATATATTGAATTCAATGAATTAATGACATAAAAGTAGACGGAAAAAAACATATGGCGAAACCGGCAGTTTAAAATCGGACCAAACCGTTAGGTTTAGGTTTGAGTTTTTTTCAACCCGTTCAAAATGGTTTGATTTAGATTTGGATTTTTCTTAAACCGATTTAAATGGTTTGATTTGAAAATCTGTCAAAAATCGGACCGCTTACACCCCTAATCTCAATTGAATACATCGTGACTTTTAGAGACTTCTTAAAACTCTATAAAAGTCTCAATTGAATACACTATGATTTTTAAAGAGTTTCAAAAAGTCTCAATTGAATACCCCTAAACTTTTTAACTCTCAAAAAGTCATTAAAAGTTTCAATTAAATACACACCCCTTAGATTAAAAATAATTATACTAAAATTTAACAATATTTGAATTTCAAACATATATGAGAGAGCAAGAAATTGATTGCTTTCATAATGATTTTGATAAATGACTACTCTGTTATTACCCGTGTTTCTTGATTAAGTGTGAAAAATGATTGGTCAATAACATTGCAAAGTCTTCCATAATTATAATTGTTGGGTAAATAGGTACAATCTTAGTTCAAATATACTTAAACTATAACGGATCAAATGACATTTATAGTAAAGTGATTTCAGCTTACTTGAGGCAGCATTAAATTATAATATCCATCTAACATATGTAAAAAAAGTAATAATAATAAAAAGTTACACCTAATATTTTAGAATATGATATTGGAATGAAATGTTGAATATAGTCTAAAGAACCTAAAGAATCCAGTTTCATGAAAATAATGAATATTGATGTTCTAGCTCTTCTTATGAGTTGTTATTAAACCCCTAATAAATCTAATTCTTAGTTATTGGGTCTATAATTCAAATTCCAATATTTTTTATAGGTTGACAAACAATATGATAATTACATATGTGTGTATATACACAACAATTCCTCTTGTATATATATAATTACGTACGTGTACAAAGGAATTGCTGCTAGAATTGTGCCACAGCAACATCTGGTGTATGTTGTCTGTTTTTTTTTTTTTCTTTTTTTTAACCGATAGATTTTCTCCAACTATCGTTTGTATAAATTCTGGCAGATATTTTCTGTAAATATAGCAGCTTTGATATATATATATATATATAAACACACATGTATATATACATATACATACATATACATATACATATATATATATATATATATATATATATATATATACACACATATACATATAACTGCAAATGACAGAGGTATGGACTATGGCACGTTATTGTGCATCAGGAAAGCAAGACAAATTGCACATGTAACAGCAGAGAAACTCCTTGCTACCAGGCTGGCTTCTGATTGGTCAGACAAGACTAACATATATACAAAAAGTCTGAACCCTAATCTTGAGGGTCCCCACCGTTCCGCCCCTAGAGTTTTGTGAGGGAGGTAAATCGCGATATGTACCCCAGCAGGCCAGAAAACAAGAGGTACTTGTACACTGTGCCTACAAAGAGTCAAATTTCATGTTTCAAGAATCGAACCCCCACATTGCGACTGCCAGTAAGTAAGGTGTGAGATAAGCTCACTCCTATCCTTTGCACTACCGGACTATGCCCCCGGGGCAGACTAACATATATACTCAAATAGAGTTACTTGTTTTATCTCTTTTAGTATAAAGTTATACATAAAGTATATAGTATAATCTAATTTAACTTTGTCTTCAGTATCTTTATACATTTGTTTTCACTTAGACTGCACAATAAGGATAAGGATGTGCATGTATCCTGGGTTAACAAGTCATGATATTGATATTGCAACGGTTGATTGACGATAACTTGTTCACTTCAATTTTTATTACTATTTGGAATAACGCAAGGGAATCTTTATCAAAACATTCCATCTACTTAGAGCATAAAATGGAAAAATATATGTTCGAGATATAGACTTACTCATGGTGCACGCGTCACTAGATACCAATATGAACAAATTGATTCTATAGTCTTCGCTATGTATTTTTAATAACCGCGGTGGAATATTAATGTAAGACATTTGTTGTCCATGTTCTAACCAATGATCGATCAATTACCATCGAGAGTGGAACTCAAGTAAGTACCCTCAAATTAAAATGCTTCTCTAAATAATTTACGATATTGATAGGTCCAACTTCATTTTGTATAGTCGATTTATGCATAAATTAAAGATACATACATAGGTATGTAACCGACGATAAGTCTTATTCTCTCGAATGCTGGCCTCCCAAATACTATTACGTCCATTTGCACGCTTCCCATTTCTTCTGTAATACAACAATATATGCTACAAGGAAACCTCGAAGATTATAAAAGAGAGAGGTCAGCTAAGAAGAAGAAAGCTAGCTAGTCTAGAAAAAGGGGCAGGATATATATATATATATATATATATATATACACGCCAAGAATCTCTAGTCACAGTACACAACAATTCTTCATGTATTATTGAGTTAAAAGCTATTCAGCACGTTCAAATTCTATACATGCTATTATTATACTGAATTTTTTTTAATTTTTATTTTGCTTCGAGATAGTATAAAAAAGTTAAATTGTTAGAAAATAAAAATATAATTTATTTTAATTTTTTATTAGCCTCATATAATTTATTTTAATTTGACGTTTAATGCAGGACGTGGAATAAATACAATTTCAGTGAAATAACACAAAATAATCATTCATCATTGATTTTAATTGGTGAAAACGGACGAAAATATATCATTTAAAATCAAATTATGAGTAGTACACTATATTGAAATCAAATTAAAGTATAACTATCTAAGTTAAATAATATTAAAGTGTAGCCACTCGATTTAATGATCTGAAAGTATAATTATCTAGTTGACACTAAAGTAAAAATATAATTACTACAAATGGAACTTACCCTAAACCAAAAAATCTAGAACCTTAAGTTAAGAGGGAAGAAGCTTTATTGTTGCAACTTTGATACCTTTATTCACTAATTATTTTTCGCCAACCTAAGTATTACCTAGATAAAAATGAATATTCCTATTATTCGTCTTATAGCCTTAAATATTACACTTAAGTGTTGCCACAAGAATTGAAGTTCCAAGTTATTCTACTTTCATATATAGATAGTGGATGCAAGTCAAGAATTTTCTAGAGGTTTAGACGTCAATGCGGATTTTTCGTAGGCTACCTTTCTTGAAACCCTTATTTTGCTTTCTTCAAAATCTCTTCGAACGGATTCCTACGCATAAAGAATTTGAGAAGAGAACATATAACATTACCTCCATACACAAATATTCTGCGAAAGAGAAAATTATGGTGCAGTCAATTTAAGGAAAAATTATATATATATGACAATTCTTTGCCTGGTTTGGATTCTTAATTTGGCCACCATGACACTCATTTATATGACCATTGACATTAAAAATTTGAGCCGTTATTAGAATTCAAAAAGTGACATAGTTACCAACATATAAATAGCTCGTGAATTTCTATAATTGCGCAAATCTACTAAATTTTAGTTAAGGTTAATTTTGTCCATAACCCAAAAGGATCGAATGGTTAAAATTCACCAAAATATGTCAAATAATTTATTTTTTATTATCAAAAAAATCAACTAGTGAAGTTTTTATAAAAGAAACTACATTGGAATTTGACTTCGAAAATTTTACGTACCTAGATATCATGTTTAAATGTTGAGAAAGGAATTGGAATATAATACGAGAGTGCTGTATATCCCAGTGGTGCTTAATCAATAATCTAGGTGGTGAAAAGTACTTACTCTATCCATTTATTTCATCTAGGTAGTGACAGTGGAGCCCACACCCAAAATTGATGGTTGTAAAAATATACAATTTATTACCAATTACGAAGAGTAATGTCGTCTAGCATCAATTGTTCTTAGCAACAGTTTACATAAGAGTGCTGTCCACATTTAAATGTACAATAAAAGTAAGGATGCATTGTAATTCATCGAACAATTAAAGATAGCCTTCACGACCACCTACACGTTTACTGTAAATAACATTATTTGGTAGTAAAATGCAAACTTTGTTGTCACCTATGACGCCTAAATTTGTGTCAAATGACACAATTTATTCTATTCAGTAAGAAATATGTAAAATAGGGAAGGGAAGGAAAGGAAACGTAGAGTAGAGGGAGTGGTGCACCGCAAATTCTGTGGTGCCAGGCTTGCACTCTAATCTTGCACAAGGAATCGGTGCAAAAAAGGAATGTGTTTGCTTCAAAGCCACCCGAATCTTACTCCTTTCCTCACCTCCACAATACTTCTTACACTTCTCTCTTTCTCTCTCCACAATACCTTTCCATTGGTTCAAGTTGCCTGCATATAAATGTACGTATGTAACGTCCTAAGTTGGCACTGAAATAAATATTCGTGCACACTTTCCAGGTTACTATTCACAGGGACATTCTTTTAGGCTCTATCTCTATAAAGAAAAATGGTTGCGCCTCAAGAATCAATGGCGATAAGGGATCACAATCATATGATCAAAGGAAAGCGCACCAAGCGGCAAAGGCACATCTCGCAGCTTTCATTAACCATGGCTACTAGCTCGTGTAGCTCCGCGGAAGTCAGTGGTGGCGGTTTTGGCGGTGCAGCAACGGAGGAGGAAGAAGAAGAATACATGGCCAATTGTTTGATTCTTTTGGCTAAAGGAAAAACACAAAAATTATGTGAACCACCTGCTGTTACGAGGTCGAACGTATACCAGTGCAAAACATGTAACAGATGTTTTCCTTCATTCCAAGCACTTGGTGGGCACCGAGCAAGTCACAAGAAACTTCAGACAACAAGCCTAGAAGAGAATGTACTTCAAATCAGTAATGATCATGGTACAAATATTTCATTTCAGATTTCAAGGAGCAGAGATCTACGCAGCCCAGAAAATACCAAGTCTAGGGTTCATGAATGTTCTATATGTGGAGCTGAATTCACCTCTGGTCAAGCCTTGGGGGGTCATATGAGAAAGCATAGACCATTGCCTAGTCATGATCAAGATTCTCTAAAAGCCCAGAAATCAAGAAATCCGTTATCATTGGACCTTAATCTTCCTGCAGCACCAGAAGGTGATGATGATCACATAGAATATTCAAAGTTTTCTGCATCAAAAGAACAAGTATTGTCTACCTCTCCTTTGGTTGATTGCCATTTATAACTAATTTCTCTGATCAGCAGGAAAATTCTTATTTACATTGTTTTCATTTTTTCATTCATAAATTTGTAAATTGATTCTTTGACATTCACAAATTAATTTGTAAAATTGATTAGTTGATTTCGTTTAATTATAGCTTTATCTTGATCATTTAGTTGAATTCTTACAGTATCTTCTTCCACTTCCATCTTGAATGTTCCAAAACCTTTTTCCTCATTTTTGGTGCCTCTGAGAACTACCTCATTAGCCGCTAGTTAGTGTGTGTGTGTGTACTTGAGAGGGGGGGGGGTTGGGTTGATCAGCATCAGCATCAGCATCAAAAGAATTAGGATTGGTGAATGAGATTCATATGATTGATCACAGGAAAGCTTAAAGTTGAATGCATAATTGTCTGTTCCATTAATTAAATGACAAATAAATTAATGGATATGGTGCAAGTAGCTAGCCATTTATTTATCTAACTGCCCTTGTTGTATGGGTATTGACCTGTACTTCTCCATTACGACACCAAAGCAACATGTTACCCTAGCCCTACAACCATGGAAAACTATTGAGCATGATTCGTATGAATAATGAAATGCGATTATAAGCAATATTTTTACTTCTTTTAATATTAGTATTGTCTAATTTACGTTACTTATTAGGTTACGAGAAGCTCCTCTACATAACACCAGTGACAAATTTCGAAGCATGGTAGATAGTTTTTAAGTTCCTATTGTATATATTCCTAACTTTTCATGAATTGCCTTGGACGAATTTCTTGCAAATTAAGGGACAGCAAAGATGATCTGGCTGCTAACATAACATACTATATTGTTCTTAGCATAAGCCTAAAGAAATTAAGTGCATTTTGGATAAAATTATAAGTTGTTAAATTTATAATGTGGTAAAAATAAACGGTGGATAAGTGGTAGTAATTCTAAATTCTATAAAATTTGCATTTAAAATTAATATTCAACGTTGACTAATAAATTATTAAAAAAAAATTATTATGATCCCCAAACAGTGGCGGACACAAACATTTTAATTTAAAGAGTCACAGTCAAAATTGTTCAGATCGAACACTTTGTTCTTATTTTTGAATAATTTATGCTAGATTTGAGAAAACAGAAATTTATGTTTAAGGAACATTCCATCACTAATAATTTGTTCATCATTTTCATTTATTTTATTTCGAACATTCATTTTATTAATATTTTGCTCATTATAAGAAAATAAATATTTATGTTTAAAGACTTTGTAGCGATTTGATACAAACAATTAATTCAAGTAATTTGAAGGAAAAACATATAACAAATATTCAATATTAATAATCAATTCAAATAAACACAATTTGATAAATATAAGTTAAATTAGACATAATGATTCCAGGCCCTTTCTATATAAACAATTCGAAAAATCATTCCAAATCAATTTGACATAATTCAAATACAAAATTTTAAAATTCTTCTTGAACATAAAATCGAAAAGAATAAAAATAAACTCTAAATGTAATCCAAACCCATTTTTCTATCAATTAAAATTTTGGTCAAAGAAGAAAAAATAAAATTATAAGTTATTTGTCATTTGCTATTGGTTACCTTCCAATTTTAAAAAAGTAAAATAACTTAAGTTGATTGTATCTGAAGGTTCGATGAGTAGATGTGACGTTAGAATTGTAGTGGGGGATGAGGTTAGCTAAATTTAATTTCTAATTAGTTGAAAATTTGATATGGAAGTAAAGATTTGAAGTAGATGTTGTAATTTGTAACAAAAATTATAGCCAAATATTAGAAGAATTAAAAGAGCCTGATTTTGGTAAAAGAAGAGAGAGAGAGTTCAAATTTATTATGATTTTGCCCATATATGATAATTATTAAAATCAGATTTTTAGTAGATTTAAAAAAGTGGTAGATCCAATGAAATATGAGTTAAAATTAACACATTGTTTGCGCTCCATTTTTTTCGAAAAAAAAATGAAAAAAAAAGTAAGAGGATTTTTCAATAGTATTATGATGGATGATGTGTGATTAAAAAATAAGGAAAATATTTGAGTTTGTATATAATATTATTTTATTGAAAAATATGTAATTGAAATAATATCAAATCACTATTCAATAGTATATTTTGATGGAAAAAATGGGGCTCAAACAATGACTAATTTTTTACGTTAAATTAAAATTTTAATTTTAATTTATACTAAACAAAGTTTTTAACCGAAAAAAAAATAAGAAAACCTCAAAAGTTGGGAGGTCACGTAACCCATGCCCCCTCTCCGTCCATCTGTCTTGAACTCAGGTGTGTAGAGGACCTAAAGTCATCCACGATATGTTACATGTCGTGTTAAGGGAGAATTATTTTTTTGAACGTTTTTAATTCTAGTACAATTCAATTGTTTCAATAATATCTTGCTTTTTGTTTTTTAATATATAATAAATACTACAAAATCCTTGTCATGTATGAATTTCATGTTATTAAGTTTTAATCAATTATAATTCACATTAATCTAGAATTATTATAGATGAATTTATTTCTATTCACTCCTTTAGAAATTTTAATGGGTGTTTAAATTCATGTATTAACAATTACTTCTTACGTACCAAATATAGTATAAGAATATTGCTCATTTGTAGTATTTTATCATAGCAAAAAATTTAAATTATAGAAATTTGAGTTTTAAGAGTAAAATTTTATTTATTTTTAGTTTATTTGGGGCTCATCAAATCTTCTCAACAAATTGATATCAAATATTACTTTCATATTAAGTATTTTCAGAGTAACGTGTAGTGCACGTTCAACTCTAACATGTGAGATTAAAAGGGGTGAATCGTGATTCGAGGTAAAGGTATATGTTTCCCTTATTGTACTTCATTTGATTTATCAATTATTCGTACTTGGTAGAGATAGAAGCCTAAACACTTCTGCTTCAGGATTGGTGTATTTTTGCAAAAAGTAGGAAAAAAAATTGATGGAACAGTATATCCACACAGTTTGATGAAAATATGTAATAAATCTTATATAATCTAATAGTTAATATATCATTATATCAAGTTTTAAAATGTATAATTCCCCGAATAGTTTAAAAATTGTAATTATAATTTTTAAATTTTAAACTATCTGAAATTTGATGAATATACATGTTTAAAGTTTTTAACATTCGAATTTATTTATTTATTTAATTAGTAACATAATTAAGAAATGTATTATGTAAATTATTTAGCTACTTTGCCAAATATCCCTTCACTAAATAGTTTTATTTATTTATTTATTTACTTTTCATGGTTTGGGGTTGATTTTTAAAACAATTGTCTTTAATCTAATAGGTGAATTATAAGTAATTGGATTCTTGAGAAGAAATGGGGTTTCCAGACGAGCAAAGAGAGATTTGCTTAAATGTGATAATGTTCATTTTCCTTCTTTTTTGTTTCCTTTCATATAGCATGTTTCACTACAAAAATGCATATTTTAAATATAATTTTAAAATAATATTTCTTTTATTGGTGAAATTGAAAAATAATTAACAATTACTATTTGACGGTAGGAGATACTTTCAACAAAGTAACTTCATTTACTTAACAATAAAAAGAAGGGGAAAAAAAAATTCTTGCGAACAAAAAGTTAGTTAGAAGCGACTTTACTCATTTTTTTTTCACCATTCTTCGCCAACCGTAACTTCCACTTGTATGTAATCCATTAGGAAAAATTACTAGAATAGTCTATGCTTTTGTGGATGTTTAGTCTCAACACCTAATGAATAAGAAGGCTCGACACTTGACTTTGCTATACTATACTGCCTCCAAACAAATTCGATTTTGAATTATTTCGTATCCCACATTCCCATCCCAATAATGAGGTAGCTATTGCACAGTTAAAAATTTTGTAACCTTCACATTTTCTCAGTGGCAAAATTCAATCAAAAGAAAAATATGCCATCGATGTATCACAAACATCACTTGCCTACTCAAAGTCAAGATCAGGAATCAAGAACTTAATGATTCTACAAATACCGCAAAGTTTGAAATCAAATTTTTGTTTTCGTAGATAAATTGATAACACTCTGTACATAATATTTTAGTGAAGACGAGTGTCCATTGATGGCTTATTGCGATGATTTTTACAGAAGTAGAAGGGTCACATTATGCCTGATTCAAGATTTGGATATTCATCCCATACAATCTGCCGACTCCTTTGGGGAAGAATTGATGAACGATTTAATTTATAAATGGACAAAAATTAGTAGCTAATACTGGTGGATTCGCTAAAATGTATAATTGAAATGAAGTTTGACTATTTATAAATATTGCTTAATGGAAAATTAAAGAACATTTATGAACAAGACAAAAGTAACTAGAGGAAATTAACAAAAAAATGAAAAAAGGCAAATGCAATAAAGAAAGTAGCCAGCAAGAAGTAAGATACGTCGTTTGTTCCATGATCTTTAATATACTCGATACGACGTGTTCAATTAATGTCGTAGATTAACAAGTTTGATCCAGACTGCGAAGCAAAAAACTAAACGTAAGATCAGATTAAAATCATGCAATTTGGTTTCCAGTACAACTTGGGTAAGTATGTGTTGGGAATCTACTTATACATGCACAGCGGAAAATTAAATTATTTCGATTCCCATCCAATAGATCTCATTGTGTTTGGTTAGGAATTGTGATAAGATTGTACCTTTTTCAGATCTGCAATCCTTTTGCTTTTCTTTTCGTTCCACAACTTTGATTCGCCACCACAGCTGTCCAATTGTCCAGCCTCCAACGGTGATCCACACAAAGAAATTGATTGCAGCCTCTAGGGTTTTCTCTTGTGCTAGCAAGAATAATGAAAACCTTCATGGACCTCAAACCCTAGTTATATATTTATATAAACCCAAATAGGCTCTGCCCGGTCCGGTCCAATAATTAATTAATCCAATTAATTAAACCCGGTCCGTGAATTAATTAATCCAATTAATTAATTCGAAAATATAAATAACAAATCCAATTAATTAATTTATCCAACGATTGTTAAATTAACTAATTGGCAATTTGCAATCTTCCAATTCTCTTTTGTGTGTGAACCATTAGGTTCCCGACCACGATGCCTAACGACGTGAAATATTATTTTGATCTAATCAAAATTGATAAATTAAAACACCCTTTTAATTTATCGTCAATTCACAATCGCCGTCCCTGATTGACATCTAACAATGTGTCAGGGCAATACATGTGAGGGGAAATGTCACGTGGTATGACAAAATCAAATTCGTTCGTTTACCGTGAAACTATAATCCTTTCGTCAATATGATCCGATCAATTACGAGATATGGAGTTGTGTCAATCTCGATCATCGATCATATCTTTCACTCCACTATTAAGTCAATATAAATCGAAAACTCCTTTTCGACTTATGAGTACACCTTGGCCAAGGATTTCATCATTGACTTAATTGAATGAAACGCAGATCATAATCTCCTACTATCTAAGAGTGACGAATCCTTTATTGATCAATCACAACCTTCATACGATTCTTGACGTACCCGAACGATGTCGTATTAGCGGCCCTTTTCAGAGCAACATCCAACACTGCCAAAAGTATGACTGTCCTCATATAAGGTACCATGACGACCTCAAGTCAAAAGGACCAATTCCACTACCGAACGTTAGAGATTAACCACTGACACTCAGATAGTTATCCATGTGGAATCTCTCGACGGGTCTCCAATGTTTTGTTCTATAACAAACATCCACGTGTTCATTTAAGTGTCACCACACTTTAACTTGTGAGATTAGCTACTTACTTCACAAGTAAGAAATGACACACGTGATGGTCTATCCGTAATAACGATATCCGTATCTCGTTATTACTTACGACCACGGATGATTTAAGATTCAATCAGATGTAATTTGTATCTCACAATCACAACTTCTTGTGATTAACAAATTACAAATATTTGAATCTACGGACTCTATTATTTATTTAATTGTCTATTAATTAAATAATAGATCTGCCATTTAATTGCATTAATTATATATAAAAGTATTTATGTCCAAAGTTGATTGGACCTAGGGCATAATACTTACAGTATGAACACCAATAAAGAATATAAAAGCAGTGCCAACAAATTTATACAAGCTAACAGATATTATTCAACAATCCCAGAGCAGGAACACATGTATCCAGAGCACAACAAACTAAAAGAAATTACATTTACATTACATAATTTGATCACAGATCATCGAAGAGAAACTCGAGATTAGTAATGTCTTCCAAGGTACAAGTTTAAAAATAGCTTTTACATCATGGCCTCGGTTTCGCGGTGATTTATTTACTAGCAACATCCGCCATTTGGAGGTATTTGCTGTTCTGGTGTCGGTCTCAGGATGTTTCTCTTCCCTGATGTAGATCCTTCTTCAAGAAGACTAGGCACCTCCATAATCTGGGAGAATTGGAAGTTCATTCAAAAAGAATGTTGTAACTGATTCTATCTCTAGTTTCGTATAGCATTTTGTCCAAACCAACAATTCAAAATTTTACACTTTTGACATGGTTAAACGGTAAGGTCTTATTCTGTGATTAAAATCATCACAAAATAGTTCTTTAAGGGAATTTATTTAACTCTGGAACAATATGAAGTTCAACTATTAAAGTAGTAGATTGGAAGCATAACGTAGAAATAAATATATTGCTTTACCTTTAAGGCCAGCTCTTCAAAACACCGATCCACATTTTCCCGAGTTTTGGCACTGCATTCAAGAAACAAACCTCCAAACTCTTTTGCGAGGGCAATTCCTTCTTCCCTACTTACAGCTCGTTCAGATTCCTGAAATAGCATAGGCATTACGACTTCCAATCCCAGGTAAAAATTGCTAATTTTGTCATCTCTTCTCGTTGAAAGAACAATGAGTGCAAAACCATTTTACTAGAAATGGGGGGGAAAAGACAAAAAAAGCAGGAAAAAATAGGACAAGGAACCTGAAATTTCCCGACTTGTATGTTCATAATTAGATTTCCAAGCATACAGAAAAATCCTATGAGGGATAAGTGAAGAGTTGTGTGTGTGTGTGTGTGTGTGTGTGTGAGAGAGAGAGAGAGTTACTTTATCTACTTTGTTTCCAACAAGCATCTTGATGCAATCCTGATTAGTGGAGTAAAGTTCCACTTCTTTTGTCCATACGTCAGATAAATTTGTAAAGGTATCTCTTCTTGTTACATCATAAACTACAAAGCAAACAGAAAATAAAACTAATCAATGGATACCGTTAGACAAAAGCGCAGTTATAGAAACCATCAACATTGTAACACTATGACATCTGTGTATTACAACCATGGAAAGCCTTAGAAAATTGTGCATAAACCAATCCAATCGATTTATAGAAATACAATATAAAGGCAACCTCCATGAAATAAAGACAAGTGCTTTTACTTCCTCTTCATTTTTCAGGTTAAAAGTTAATATGCAAAGCAAAAAGAAAATGAAAGTAATGGTTCACATGTTCCATAGGTACATATGCTCTTGTGGATGCATCTGAAACACCTAACTACTAAGAGCCTATTTGTCTCCCATTATGGGAGAAATTAAAGAGTTTTGAATGGCATTTTTTGGAGAATGTGTGGTTAAAATTAAACAAAAAAAAAAAAAAACTTTATTGGTTTGTGTGTTAAATATTTTATTGCGTGAATGTGTGGTGGAGAAAGTTACTGTATCGAATAATTTAATTTGTTAAAGGATGACAATAAGGGGCTAAATTTCATTTAATTGGACCAATGATGTAAGTAGTTTTTGATGCTTTCCTAGAGAGTATGGTTAAAGTAAGAAGACGAGCACTAAGAACTTTGGGGGTGGGGGTTTGGGGGGGGGGATTATGATTTCTATAGAACCAGAAAATGATCAGCACTATTTGAATATCTTCACACGCTAAGAAATATTCGAGAATCACTATTTGCTAATATATATGGATCAACAGTGTTATACACACTTATGCTGCCACACACGAAAATGATCAGCACTATCTAATTATCTTCACATGGTAAGAAATATTCGAGAATCACTATTTGCTAATATATAAATGGATCAACAGTGTTATACAAACTTATGCTGCCACACGCAACCATGCGCTCTTATCATGATCGTTGGTTATCCTCAAAAACAATTAAGTCATTCATACAGAAGAAGATAGAACTGTTCCATGGCCAAAACAATCTTATGCTTGAAGAAGTACTACAAAAGGTGGATAAAAAGTCATTTCCATAAGTAAAACACTGGAAAATAAATATTTGATGACCCTCTGGTAAAATAAGTGATTTTGGTTTGTAAATAACCTACCGAGAACAATCCCTTGGGCACCTCTATAATATGAGCTCGTCAATGTCCTGAACCTCTCTTGTCCAGCTGCAACACATGTCGTAAAATTTACAAAATCGCTTAGTAAGAAAATGAACTTACATGTTACTAGTACAATATATACAATGAGACGTGTTGTACGATCACAAAAGGAAAATCCTGTAAAGTCATTCGTATTCCTTTATTGTGGTGGGGGAATAAAACAACAAACCCAAGGAATTCTTACCAGTGTCCCAAATTGTAAGCTTCAACTTTTTCCCGCCCACCGTGAGGAATTTGATCTTAAAATCCACACCTGGACATGGGGGTAGAACCGATGAAGACAGAAGAAAACTATTATGGCCCTATTTGGTAGCCGTTTTTTTTCAAAATATATTTTTATCTCTCTTCTTTTTAACTACACATTCTTTATTAAAATAATATTTCACGCAAATTAAAAACTTTTCCTTATTTTTCAACCACACATTTCACGTCAATTTACCATTCTAAAATACATTTTTTCATAAAAATGCCTATCAAACACCTTCTATATATCATCAGATCTGAATTTTATACTCCAACAATATAAATTTGAGCGAACTGTCTTGATATACTAATTCTATCGACCATATGAGAAGAGAATAAAAAAATTTCTATCAGCTCTTTGAATTAAACCTGAGAAAGGAACAAATAGAAACACAATTATATCAATACGCGCTTACGTACACATAAAAAAGACATTACTTGCCCGCATTTAAAGAAACTGTATCTATCAACTAGTGATTCGTCAAAAAGATATTTGGAAATGTGGAGCATAAATATAGTCGTGGATGAGATGCTGTTCATTTTGGCATCCATTTGGAGAAAACATTGAAATGTCAAATAGTTTAGAGTCCATACAGAAGTGGTGATGGTTTGCACAAATAATGGGCAGCCAGTATGTTTCTATATGTCTTGTTTTCTAACAATCATTTTGTATTCTGTAGGTATGTTGAACCATCCAATCTAAGAGTTTAAGCTATTAGACGAAACAAATTTAATCATTTAAATTTTGCTTTCAACGCTCCCCCTCACATTCAGGTTAGATGCTAACAGGTACATAAATGGATAAGGATACAGTTATGATCTGTACCAAGGACCTTTGCATGCTCTAACATCAAAGTTGATTGATTGCTAACTAAACTTAAGATTTCTTACATAAATAATGCTCATATAAGGACAGATACACACAATCTACTGAGAAGTCCAACTCAACTAACTTTACAATGACAGATACCAAATTAAGATTCCTTACATAAATAATGCTCATACAAGGACAAAATACACACAATCTACTGAGAAGTCCAACTCAACTAACTTTACAATGACAGATACCAAGTGATGTTAAATTCAATCGAATGCTTTATTTCATCTAATCATCATTTGAGAAAAGCATCAATTAATCACAAGAAATTGAATCTGGGACAAACCTCAATATTTACTGCAATTAATAAATAAGTATATATGCAAAAGTTTATATTCATCTTTTTGTACACAAATCTAAGTTCCAGACCATAAATCTTTACCAAATCGCCAAAAAAGCACTTGAATTTCGATCTTTTTCGAATCAAAAACCCATCAATATAGAATTTGCAATAGGCATGGATTACGATTTACACATAAAGTTCATCCCAATAGATTGATAGAGAAACAGAGTAGTACCAATTGTAGGGGCAAGATCGCCAACAGCATTAGAAATAAAACTGACAATAAGACTACTCTTGCCGACATCAGAATCCCCGATCAGCAAGATCTTGAAAGACAGATCATAGTTGCTCTGCCCTTGTCCCGATGACCCCATCAGAAAATTTCGCCTTCTGTCTGTAAAAAACCTTGGTAGAAATTTCTCTCTCTGCCTATCTAGCTACTCAAACGCAACAATTGCAACAACTATAATAATGACAATGTTCAATTAGAAAGAGAGAGAGCAAAAAGCGGGAAGATGAATAATGAGAAACTAAAAAGCAAAGTTTATGCCATCACAAACCTCCGTTCCTCTCTCTATATATAGTTGCGTATATAGTTTTCGAGAGAGAGAAAGCGAATACGTATGCAGAGAGAGAAGGGAACGGCTGGTTGAAGAGTGACGACAACGTTATTCTTTTCGTAGTCTTTTGTTTTCTCAGATGCGATTCCCGCTTTTGCGCGAAACGCAACGCACGGTTGGACGGTGACCGTATTGTGGCATTCCTGTAATAACTGTGTAAATAGAGGGGTGATTGATTTGTTACTGTTTAGCCAGTGGAATGATGGATCACTAGACTGGGCTCCATGCGGCGGGTTACTCTCTGGAGTGGGCCTTACAGTGCAATCGAGAACTTGGGTAAGTCCCCAGGTACTGCACAATAAATTCGAAATTTAGCCCCTAACAACCATTAATTTTTTTTTTTTTTTTTTGAGAAAAATGATTTTTGAAAGAATGTATAGTTAAAAAGTAAAAAAAAAAAATTTGAATTTATGTACAACATATTTTATCATGATAATGTATGATCGAAAATAAGTTCAAAAAAGAATAATGATTTGCTTTAATTATTGTCAAACATGGGCTTATAGTTAAAGATGACAAAATATCTCCGTCCCAAATTTTTTGAAAATGCTGGGAATTATTTTATATTTTCATATTTTTTAAAAAGAATGATGATATCTAGCATCGGTAATGCTTGAGTACCAGTTTAGATTACTACACTTTTAGTTAAATTAATCGAATCATGTGACTTTACATTTAATTGAATCATATCATTTAATATCATGTGATTATCATTTATATTGTGCTTAACACCAGTAGTAATAAATAACATCACTTTGTTAAATATAAATCGTGTTATACTTTCTATTCGCCTCGTTTAAGTCTAATATTTATGACTGGACATGGTCTGATTTTGTTCGGTTCTCGCATCTGAAATTTTCGGGTATTTAGTAAGTGAAACCATTGGCTCTAAATTTAATTGTGGAACTGTTTGGGTTTGGTTCCATTCAGTTCGGTTCCTAAGTTTCGTACTATAATTAATTTTTTTAATATTTAAAAAGTTACATCGATTCAATTAATAATATGTTCAATCTTAGCTCTTACAAAATAACTTAGTCTAATTTTATGTGTCTTTTGCATCTTTTTTGGCTGAGTTTTTCATAAATTTGATTGTTAAAATTACAAGAAAAAGAAGATAGCGAGCTCAAAATAATTAAGAGAGGCGTTGTCGAATTTCAATTCGATTTCTCCATAACGGTAAAAACGATACTATGGTAGAGTAACAAATTTCGATAAAATTTAGGTTAATTTAATTAAGTTGACTTTGAACTGAAAATTAGAAATAGAAAAATTATGTTTTTTTAATTGAACTAAATTAACTAGTTAACAAATTTATTTAGAAAAAATAAAATAATTTGACTTATTTAAAATAATTAATTAAAAAAATTAGGAAGATTCGATTTTTTGATTATTGATCTAGAACTGAAAACCAAACCAAATTCATCGATTATTGATTCAGATATCCGTTCGGATATTTAATTTAAGAATAATCGCTTGGTTCGGCTCGGTTCGAAAGTTTTGTCCAGCCCTAATAAGATCAATAAATATTTGGTTATACTTAAAAGTTATTTTTATTGAAATTAAGTTAAAATTTACTTTTATAGAAAGTAAATTTTTATAAAAAGATATAATTCTAAAAGTTATATTTGAAAAAATAAGTAACTTTAAAAATTAAATTAATCCCCAAGATCCCATCCTTTTCGAAATTTAATTGAATAGAATTTCAAGATGACTAGGTGAACAAGCATCGTTGTGTAATAGACCAACCGCCGCAATACCCTGGAAGATCGCATGGGTATCTTACAATTTTATATTAAGGACTTTTACAATTTTTAATTGCATTTAGACCACAATACCACGAGAATGAACCAAATTTATTTTTCAATCAAATATTGATCCAAATCAAGCCAATTGATTTGTTTATTGCTTTATGTAAGATTCATACATTTTATCAAATTTGACTCGTAACATTTCTTTAAATAGGTGACAAGGAGATTTTACGGAACTTTGGGTAATTTTTTAATTTTTTAGTAAAATACTAAGGCCCTATTTGATATGAAAAATTGGAATGAAAATTTTTTCATTTTCCACTTTTTTTGTTGTTTGATTGCAAAAATTTTCCATGAAATTCATTCCCCCCTTGTCACATGACCTTTTTTCCTTTGAATTGGGGGAAAGTGAAAAATGTTTTCCAATTTTTTTTATTCACAATTGTAACAAATTATATCCCTTTAATTGACAAATTTCATGAAAAATAAAGCCAAACGAACATCAAAATATCCAAATTTCAACATTTTTCAGATTAAAAAATTATACCAATCAAACACATTTAATTGACAATTACCAGTAAAACAAGTTTTAGGCAATTCAATTTCTTAAAATTCATTTTATTTCCACCCAAATTTTATTATTGCAATTAAACAGACCCTGACACAACCTTTGTGAATCAAGGAAAAAATGAGAATTGAGTTGGAGAAATCCACGATCAATGCATCTACATAGACATGAGAAACAAAAACAAAAAGATAGCCAAAGCTGCTGCAGCTTGGCTTCTTATTGTAAACCAACCAATCCCTTCAAATATAAAAATAAAGGATTCAAACTTTCTCTCCAACCGAGATGATAAAGCATGTTATGGACGATGTGATTGCTAGCCAAAGGGCAAAAAGCGAACTCCTTCGTGGCTTGCGAACTCTAAAAAGTTTGTTTGTGGGAAGGCGGTGGAAGAGAAAGTAGTTGCAATTGCTTGAGTTCAATCAATTGAGGTTGGTTTGGTTCAGTTGGCGTCTTTTTTCTTGCTCCATTTAGTGTTATCCTACTCTATAAGGATTTTAGTGATATGCTTTTTATGAATTGGACTTATTCTATTTGGTCAAATACCTAGCAACAGACTCCTGTGTTCCTTTCATTACAAGTGGAAGTCCGTGACAGAGGAAAGGGCTGTAGGTGATGGCGTGTTTTGCTTGAATCTAGGAAGGGGATTGAAATCCTTTATATTGGTTCGTGCATGGCAGCTAGTATGGATGGAGAAAGGCAGGCCCCTTTTTTGGGGACCTATTATATTATATTAATAGGCGGTAAAGCAAAACAAGAAAGAGGCTTAGTTGAATGATGAGTGCCTTTTTAGCCTTTGAAGGCTAACTCCTAAAGCAATTGCGATGAATTCACTTCGGGAATCAATACAATAAGACCTTTTCACTTTTCTCTCTCTATCAGTGTACCTTATAGTTAGGAATGTTGAGTTTAATCTGGACCAAATGATGCAATTGCTCGAGTGTCGGGAAGCATGAGGATGCGGTTGGAAGAATGGAAAGCTAATTGGAGGATTTTGAAAAGTTTCGAGCCAAAATAAGCATTTATAAAAGTTTGGAGAAAGAGATTGAAGAAACAAAGAGTTTGAGGACAAAAGTGGTAGGATTGGGAACCAACTTGAACATGTTTAAAAGTTGAAAGACCAAAAGCAGTGGAACCAAAGTTCAATGCCTAAACACGAAGAACGATAAAAGATCAGGGACTGGACTGAAAGTTCACCATGTTTAGGGCTTTTCGAAAATCCTTTTTAAATAAGAGATTATATTTAAACACGTTTTCCATTTCAATATTAAAAACACGAGCCTGAATTAAATTTACAACGAATATATAATAAACAAGTTTTAAACTTATACTTTTACAACATAATAATCTCTTTTAACGTTTTCGAAACAATCAAATTTACTTGCACATTCAGGTAAACAACATAATAAACATAAAACAAGTGTTTGTAAAAGAGTGAACCCCTTTAACACCCTCCAACTATAGACTCCCCCTGCATCCTAACCTCGCCCCGCCCTCCTCCCCTCTTCCAACAATCTCCAACAAGAGGCTAAAGCCACCATGACAATTTCCTAAACATCTAGGGGGTTGTCACCCAATAATAACTCCCAACAAAAAACTCAAAGGCTAAAAAATTCCATGTTTGACTCTTTTTTATAATCGATCAAACCACTTGCTCTTCACGTATTTCACGAAAGTCATTGAACTTGGATTTGTATTGTTATACATTTAAGAGAATAAGTTTTTGTTATGCTGTAAAAATAATTAGCTGCTAAAAGAATCAGTCAAGTTTTTTGGAAATTTTTATTTCAAAATAGTTGTTCGTCTCAAAATCAATATTTAGCGTTCGAGAAATAAACGTGATTTATGGCTTTATCCGTATACAATTAATAAATTGAACAACGATTATAATGATGACATTTTGTAATGTTATTAATATTTATCCTAGACTATTTCATGTGTTTGATGGGCATTAAAATCAAATTTTTTATTTAATTCAAAATTAACAATTATCAAAATTTACTAAAAATTTGATTTTAATCCCTATTAAATAAGAGCTATATTAGCTATAATTATTTTAAAATTGAAGAAGCGAATATCTATTAATCTCAAAATGTAGCAAATTACAAAATGAAAGCATAATCGATGTAGTTAAAAAGAAATTAATTTAATTAATTAGAGTCAAGATTAATATTTTAGTTATTGATGGTTAAAGAAACCAAAAGCAGAATTTGAAAAGCATTTTTGTTGCTTCTCAAAAATTGATGCCAAAGGTCCACATTGTTCTAGAATTTTATTTTATTTATTTATTTTTTTTCAAAATTCAGCCCCTATTTGATTCTTATTCTTTGGTTACAAAAATGAAAAATATAACTGTTATTTATCAAATCAAGCCACCATATTTGATTTTCTATCTCTTGTGTGGATCCCGTAACAATTATATTTTTCATTTTCATTATTAAAAAAATGAAAATCAAATAGGCTCTTAATAAACATTTAAAATAAGTTATGATTATTTGAGAACCATATGATAGGCTCCAAAATTAATTTAAAAAAAAATCGAAGGACTATCCATTTATCCATCATTTTTATTTTTATCTATTTATAATTTGAAGTCCTAATAAACAACTTCCAAACATGCGTTTCTTGGAGACATTATAAAAATTGCAATATTAATTCCAATATATTATTCAAATCGCAAGTGAGTCTGACTTCATAAAAAAAAAAAAGGAAAAAATAAAAAAATGAAAACTAATTCCTTTGGTCCCTTCATCCTAGAAGTTCTGTCAATTACATCCCTAAATCGAGAAGAAAATGTTTTGCCAGAAAGCTCCCCCACTCCTATCCCACCTGTCAGCTTGGTGAATAATTAGCTGTCACGGCATTTGTCGTTCTAGTACATTCTTCTCTCATTCTTTCGGTGATCTGTGTCTTCCTCAATCCATCACGGTTCATGGCTTCTTCTAGCTCCGGCAATTCAATACCTGCCCCTGGTACACTCTCAATTTCTCCCCAAATATATATGTATGCGTATATTTCCACATTCAAGAATTTATGTAAAAATTTCTCGATTGTGTGTGCGTGCGTGTTTCAGAGGCAGTTCAAGTTCTTGTCTCTTCGCTAGCAGATGAGTCTCCCATGGTCAGAGAAGCCTCTACGGCTGCTCTCAAGGCGATAGCTTCTCTGTATTTATAATTTTCTCTCCTCCCCTTATTCGTATACTTGATAAATTTATACCATATTTATGTTCCAGTAAAAAAGAATTGATTTTTTACTTTTGAATTGGATGAATTCTTGCATGTCATTAGGAACCCACTTCTGGTTCTTGATTGTTGCTCCACTGTATCGCGTGGCGGCAGGAGGGTACTACTACTCTTTTTCCTTGCTCTTACTTGAACATGCTCATAAATAGCGATCCAAACTGACTCGTTTATAATTTGTTTACAATTGTCAATAGAGTGAGTGGAAGAGAAGTAGAGGTGTGATTAAGATTTCGTTTATTGGATTTGCAGAGATTCGGGAATATAGCCGGTTTATTTCAAGTAATGTCAGAGGCAATTCGTGCTTTGGATAAGGATGATGTTGACCCTCCATACATGGCAAAGCTAGCTAAGATTGCCACTGCTGAGATCATCTCAACCAAGGTTGGAGGTCCCATCATTATAATCTCACATTTACTACTTCGTTGATAAGATTGATGTCCAATCTGTCCGTATATTAGCCTTTAAGTATTGAGTATTTGAAAGTATTTTGCGATTAGATACCTCTTGATGCTCCTACTATGTACATATTTGTGAAAATTATTAATACGAAAATTACTGAGAAGCTAATATTTAACTATGATACTTGATCATGATAAATAGTTAATCTTCTGGTTACCAAGTTAGTCTTCATACTTACATTAGGGGATGAATATTGATTCTGAATGGCTATGTGGGGAGAGATGGTAAATATCAAGAGGCCAAAGGTAATCATGCCACTGAAGTCATAACCATTTTCTAGCACGCCAACATGCTCATTTCCTTGTTTGTCAATTGTCATGCTGCCAATCTATAGAAAGTTCTAACGGATTTCAACAAGGTGGGATGGGAGATGAGTTTAAGGCTTTAAGCGTAACTTCAAACCTTAGGATAAAATGGAACCTAATATAGGTAAGGCCCTTGGTGGTAAAGATTCAATCCACAGGATAGGAGCATGCTTGTGGAGCCTAGTTATTTGAGAACCTAATGGATACAAGTTTATGCAAGGTATTGAATATCAGAAAATATGCTTTTGTCGCTCATTTGAATGAAGTTGGAATGATGCAATTGTTAGGTCATATGATTGATGAAGGTGGGAATACTCCATTGAAAGGGCTATATTTATTATTTTTCAAAATAATGGAAAACAGAGTTACCTTTATACCATGTTTATAAGGTAAATTTTCACAGCACGAGGTATACCATACAAAAGATGGAGTTGTTTAGCAGGGTGTAATTGGAGGGGTTTCTGGTGAATGATGATAGCAGGAAATGTGCCTAAAGTTAACCCTCAGCTAGAATAACCATTTCCAGTTGAATCGTATTCCTAGTTTTTTATCCAGAGATCAAAGTTCTGGTATTCCGCAAAGAGTAGCATGGGAGAATTTTCCACATATGAAAATGGAGACTATTGAACAGACAACATCATGGAGGGTAGCAACTGATATTCCTATATGAAGGAATTAGTTTGATTGCAATGGATGTTTTGTATTGTGGTTTGTAATGTTCTACAGTTGCAAGACCATGGAGAAGGTAAAAGACATTGTAGGCCGTGCTTGGCTTGGCTAACATATCATGATAATTAACTCATTAAGAATATGAGTAATGGCTACAATTAACAATTTCCTAAGCAAATTGTGTTCAAATTTTTTGCTTTGAATAATTCAATAAATTATAAAGAAACCCTAGATTTGCCTGTTGATTGTGATGTCAACCCGATATGCAGCAAATTTGAGCCTTAGCTTGATGAATTTTTGCACAAGGACTTTTAAGCCATGCGGGCTATTCAAAAAGCAGGAAATTATACCGTCCATCTATATGAGTTGTTAAGGCTGCACTGTAACGGGTTTCTGTGCTAAATATTGTGCATTGGCTATAGTTTCCAGACTTTCTGCGTCAATGCATTGGCTTAAGACCTGATGATGAGGCAGCATTTCAAAATTGGTAACATTTGGTAATATGTTGACATGCGAGAAGAAAGTCCAGCACATCACGATGGATGATTATGCTATGGTGGTTTTTTTGTACTTGAAGTAATCCTCGGAGTAAGTGTTAACTGGGTTAGGATGGCCAATCACATGTTGAGTGCAGGGACAAGGATTAACAATGTGGACACACAAGTGAGACTGTACAGTTTGAGTGGAGTAAGGGCGATCCGCACCATGTAGATGCATGATAACTTTAGACTCGAGGCTAAGCTGGGCAAGCATGCTAGCTCAGAATCAATGGCACATGGAATCATTTGGGTGTCATCCTGTAAGTTTAGTGGCCACAAATGTGAATTGGCTTGTCACTAAAACTCGAGATGGTTGATTGCTGGCCTTAGATTTAGGTGGACTGAAGGTCTCTTATAGGCAAAAATTAACTTGTGCTATTGATTATGGGGCTTTGGACAGTGAACCACATGCTTGGGAGGATGGGGATTTGTTCAGTTGGTGATACACATCTTTTTCGATTATAAACTTATACAAATTCTTCTTTGCTGGATCCTGTTTTATTTACAACGTCCACCACTTGAACCTTCCCCGTTTTCAGCTACAAAATATTCTACTGTTTTTAATAAGAAAGAAAAGCTACCAATATAATAATCATTTTCCACAGTAACAGTTAGTAAGTTAAAAATCCTGTGAATGAGGCCACAATTTTCTATTCTTTACTGTAATAAAAGGCTGAAAGCAGCATTATTTACATGGAACTTTGATTTGTTTCAAACTGTTAAATCTGGTGTTTCCTTTTATGTGCTGACATGCCAGTAGTTCAATAGTTGTATGTATTTGTTTGGTGCCCGTATGTTCTCATAAGACTTGGGATGAATTGTCTGCTGTGTTCTTTGTTCAATATTCTTTTCATGCAGTCTCCCTCCATGACATAAGTCATAACTACAGCTTTATTTTGCTGAGTTAATATGTTGTTTGTAAGGTTTGAGTTTAATTTTTTCTAGGAATTTGACGCTGATTGGCAGAGGGCTGCTGCTGGTGTATTTGTTGCAATAGGTTCACATCTGCCTGATCTAGTAAGTTATTTCTTGTGGAAGGATGTAATGTGCTTCTATTGGAGCGTGCATGTTGTCATTTGAAATATTAAGTTTATTTAGGGTTTTGACCTCAAATCCTCTCACTCTCATACAGACGCATTGCTTATCAATAGGGCTTTAGCAGTCTAAAATTTCATATGAGCACATGATATTTTACTATTGAGTTGATTTTGAGATCAATTCATGGTTAGCAATAAAAGTTACTGTACTGAAAGTATTAGAAGAAATGGTTAATGTTAATGCCTTGAGAAAAGCACTTTCATGTGTCTCTGTCTGTCTTCTTCTTTATCTCTGTAACTGTGTTTTCCTGCTTTCCACCTGTTTCATGGCTAGCATGGAAGTTATTTTCGCCTCCTTTAGAAAGTAGAAACATTGTCCAAAAGTTTTTCAGACATAACAACTTTCATCATAACTACCTGCTCTCGAAGGTTGCACTAATCTGCTGCTTTTCATTGCTCTGCCTGCACAATAATTTCTGACTTAATATAACAATGTCTAAGAGTTGCATTATCCATGACTGTGCATTCTCAACCTCACACTTACTGACAAGTGTGCCATGCAGATGATGGAAGAAATATTTCTTCATCTCTCTGGGTCAAATTCAGCTCTTCCAGCCATGGTCCAAATACTTGCAGATTTTGCTTCATCAGATGGTCTGTCAACAAATTTATTTTTAACTGTATATTTGATGAAAGTGGGTTTTCTCTGGGATATCTTAGATATTTAAAATGATTCTCTGATGCACAATGGTCATCTTTGAAGTTTTTCAGTTCACTCCACGGCTTAAAGGAGTTCTTAAACGAGTTCTTCCCATCCTTGGGAATGTAAAAGAAATGCACCGGCCAATCTTTGCCAATGGTAGGCGTAACTTTTTTGTATAAGTGTTCTAATTATATGCTTCTGGTGTTGTTTTCTGAATTTCATTTTATTCCGAATTATAACTGTTCAAATTATGTAGCTCCTGGTGTTTGTTTCATAAAACTATCTTGCCATTTGATGCATTTTTACAATGATGGTGATCTTGTGCTGCCATCCTTGTGCAATATTCATATAACAATAGCAAACACTTGCACCCAACCCGCCCTTCTCTTCCACCATTTTTCCTTTTTCACTCCTCTCTTAGCTCTGTGCCACATGCTTGAAACAAAGCAGCAGCATCCATGCTCCATCATACCACTGAAAGAAACAACAAGAAGGCCCAGCCCTTATTTATTTTGTTATATTGCTTTTGCTGATTGTATCTGAATGGATTACTGTCTAATATGCTATAATTTCTCAAATAAAGAGTGCCTTTTCTTTTTCATGAATGCTAAACAAAACATCCACAATTGGAGGTTATTCATACAAGCTTAGTAATAAAGATGGATGGTTTCCTAATAAAGCAATTTGATGCACAACAAAGTGGGGGACTGGGTGGGACTTAAATATGAATTCTTATAAACTGCTCACTGCCCGGCAAACATAAGGCTACTGAAATGCACAATTCACTATGCTGATCAACAAAGAAAATACACTATGCTTAATGAGACTAGTAATTGGCAAATCTCGGTGAGGACCCTTGGTTATGGTGAAATATTGAAAAGCAGACCATGTTGGGTTTCTATGTTTATTCTTTAACCTATCAATTCCATTGCACTTATAAATTCTTTGGAAAAAATTCCTTGTATTACCATGTTTTGATTTGCATTAATCCTATATACAAAACGTTCACTTCTTTTGAGGAATATATATTTTTTTTCCTTTTCTAGCATTCAAGTGCTGGTGTCAGGCCTGTTGGCAATATGGGAATGAGAACCCTTTGTTTATGGTTCTTGATGGTGATGTCATGTGAGACCCTTTTACTTGCTTCTAGTTACTCCTTAATCTTTTTGTTTTCCGGGATAATGTCTGTGATATGAGCGTGTCATTTAGCGCAGGTCTTTTCTTAATTCTGCATTTGAACTTTTGTTAAGAGTTTGGGCAACTTCACGGGATCTCAAGGTACATAATTAAAAAAATTACTTTTCCATTATTGGTTCATCTGCATTACTTCCTCTGGAATACAAGTGCGGATTTTTATTTGTTTCTAGCCCACTGAGAAGTTGTTTCTTTTCTGTTTCATTCAAATCAAGATTTTTCTTGACATTCTACCCTGAATTTTATTTTTTGTTTGAAGGATACGGTTCTACATTTTATTTCTTGTATGAAGAATGCGGTTCTTTTTGAGTACAGTTTAAAATGTTGCATGAGACTAATAATGATGAAATATCTCTTGTAAGATCCTCGATTAAACCTCATAATATTATGGGGAAGCTATGATATTCTTTTCAAATAATGGTCGAACACTTGAACCATAGCAAAATAGTTGTTATATGGGTGGATATACCTTAATTTTTCATTTTAAAAATCTGTGATGTTTATAATATCTTTCTATCTTTTAAAGCTAAACATGAAGTTATATGTTAGGCTGATAGTGGGAACAGTGAAATAATTTTTCCTGATTGTAAGACATTGTACCATTGGATGTTTCCCTTGATAGAGCAGAATGCAGAAGATGATTCATTTAGTTGACTTCACAAAAGTTTGGTATAGAAAGTGTATAAATTCAATAATGATAGCTTGAAATAGTTTTTCTTACTTTCCTGAAGTTGAATGCTGTGGATTTATATTGTGAAGATTCAGCATAGTAGCATACATTTCAGTTTTCCTCTAATATTGAAGGATTATCATTCCAAGGACACTCCTTTTATCCTTTTCAATCTCTTTTCCCTACCTTTGGACCCTGTTCATAGCATGAAAGAATTCTAGAGTAGACTTATTATGATATCTATCAGCTAATACATCTCTTAATTTTTCTGCCGAGTCAATATCTTTATGTAAAGTAGTGATTTTTTTTTCTTTATTTTCTTTCAATCTTTTTGTGATATGAATTTGGATGTTTTATTGCAGAGGGCAAGTTCTTTCTATGACATAGTTAATGCTGTTGTCTCAGGTCCGCACATCATCTGTTGAGGCACTGGGCCAGATGGTTGGTCTTATAACCAGAACGCAACTGAAGACGGCATTACCAAGACTTGTCTCCACTATTTTGGAACTGTAAGATTTGTTGATAGTAATATCGTGTGAAGTAAATATTGGAATGCCACACTATATTTTTGTTTTTCCCACGTGTGACATAATTTTATAATCATATCCCGAAGATCTAATTTCATCAGGATGACATGGTGTATTCTTATGAGTTAAAATACTAGGAGTACTCTTAAAATATAATTCAAAAAATGTTACAGAAAAACTCAAGTTGTCCTCATATTCTTTCGATAAAAAACAACTAAATATAAAGAATATCCTTAAAATGCCTTAGATGTAGAAGTCCATAAAAAAAGCTAAAATTTTGTCGTGTCCCATAAATTACGAAGCACTTGTTCTCTTTCTTCAAAAATTCCGGAATTCCTAGTGCAACTTACTGATAATATGGCCAGAAGGCCTAGAACCACAGATTATTCTGCATAACATTACATAGCTTTCACAATTGAAAATAAGTTGGTTTTTACAATAGATAAAATGCTGCACTCTTCAGGAAAACCCATTCACATGGCGTCTCTTAACAAGCATGTTGGGCTGTAAACCAGCTGAGTGTGAATGAATTGCTTCTATTCATCTTTGTTGAGTTTCTTGTTCGATGAAGAGTCAAAATGTTTGTTATAGTTCGTTTATTCATGGTTAAAGAGCTATTGAGGTGTTCACATACCAAAATAGAGAAAAAACAACTAACAAGGGGTTCGTGTAAATAAAAAGCTCCCGAGTCTTAATTTTTCTGGAATTAACTTATTCGTTCATGACTGAACTGCTAAGTTTTGGATATAATGAATTAACAAAAGAAAATTATTTTGAGAAATTGAAGATTTATAAAACTACTAGCTAGAAAGATGCTTTTTATGTAATGTATTGACATTAGTATATTAATTGTTGCTTTCCTCGTGCACAAGATTTAAATGAACAGACATACTGCTCATATTTTGCTCATTTACTTGATGAGCCTTGAAATACTGGTCGTGTTTGGTTCATTTATTAATTGAATAAATGTCAACAAGTTGTTATGTGAGCCAAAGATGAGCTGTTCACTACTTGCTTGATTTATGCATGACCCTATTATTAGCATGCTGTCTATCCTATTTGCATGCCCTATATTCCTACTTAAGATTAATTTGAAATGCCAATGAGTTGACTTTCTATCATTGTATTCAAAATCTCTTTTCTATCTGTTTGAGCGTTAAGTGCTATCTTATTGTAATATATTTTCTTTTCATTATCCAGATATAAGAAAGATCAAGATGTTTCCTTTGTGGCAACATGTAGTCTCCACCATCTATTGAATGCCTCATTATTGTCAGAAAGTGGTCCCCCTTTGCTTGATTTTGAGGTAAGCAAAGGTCACTGTTGAGCAAGTTGAATGCCTCATTAGTTAAACTTTTCACTCTTGAAGTTTGACTCTATTTTCTTGCTTGAGTTGTCCACTAACACGAGTCTTCTTGGTGGAGATCCTAATAGATATAAATTCTTTCCAATTCAGATACTTATTTTAGAAAACGTAAGTAGGGTTTTTTTTATAGGTGTAATAGTATTTTATATTATTTCCTTAATTGTTTTCCTACTTAAATTAGGTTACTCTAAACCATGTATAAAGAAGACTTATGCGTTGAAATAGTTAGACTTGATTAGTGAATAAACATATATTTTCTCCTTCTGTTCTTTTTTGATTCTCTCCCCGTTCTTCTCTCTCTCTCCCTTTCTTCTCAAATATCGTTCTTGCTTATTGCATTCTACGTCAATTTGGTATTAGAGAAAAAGTCGTTACCTTTGGCTAAACAAGTTTTATAAAATTTCCTTACATGTTCAAGTTCAAGAGTTTACTGCAGCAGCCACCACCCAGATCCTCCACCTGACCAAGCCACCCACGCAACCACCCATTTCAATCCTTCTACAATCCGCCACCACATCCAAAAAATCAACTCCAACATAAACACAAAACAAAAGGTACAGTAGCAACTGCCTGCAAGAAGTTCAGAATTACTGTGTGGTTTTATTTTTGCATATTAGCGAGTAGTTTAAAGAAAAAAAAAAAAAAAAAAAAAAGAAGAAAAGAAAGTTGTTTTTCTTTCTCTGTCGTCTCAGGAACTGTCCCCCTTTAAGCAGAATTTTGATTTAGGGTTATATTAGTTTCTTTTGTTATTGTTCTTTTGTTGGGAAAAGAAGGATAAAAAGGAAAAAAAGGGAAAAAGAACAAAACTTATGCCAGTGCCTTAGTCCAAATGCTGCTGTCTCAGTTTCCCATCTTCTCAGCCCGTTTAGTTAGTACCCACCCAACCCTTTGATTCATACCCCAGTCATCAATGCCGTAAGGCCTCAAATTGAAAGAACCATTAAGGAAGTTCTAAAGTAGAGATGACTGCAAGGCTGTTAAACCACTACCTAAGCTACATTTTGGCCTTCGAACCCTTGGCATTATAGTATGATAATCATCGCTCGACATTCAATTGGAAGCCGGCAAAATTGAAACCTAGGCGTGACATGATGAACGTATTGATAGAGATTGGGATTTGCGTTTATTTTGGGATTTCAAATAGGTTTTCTTTTTTTGGGTGTGGCGTTCTAAGGAGCTGGTATATCGGGCTGTAAAATTGGTGGACTTTGTAAAAGACTGGAGTTCGAGGTTTTATCGCAAAGCTAGGGAGGTGACTGATGCAGTTGGAAATGTTGGAGGAGTAAAGTCACTTTAATCCACCTTGAAGCCCTTTATTTACTAAGAAATATGTGGGAAAAACTATGAAGATGTCCTAATTTCAATGAACCCTTGTATTTTTTATGGAAAAGAGAAGCCAAGCCTGACTGTATACTGGTGTTTAATACTCCCAAAATTTCGAATTACTGGGACCTGTTGTTCATAGATACCGCTAACTGTGAACTTTTTCACTAAGAAATACGACCAAATAGGAAGATAAGTAATAACCGGAAAGAAACTAAGAAATCCTAAAAATGTCTTGAAAACCAAATGATAAAGGTAACTAAAGGTAAGGCATAGTTATACCAATGTAGTGGGTATACATAGGTTGCAGGGACTCTTTTTCCCTCTCTCTCTTCCTAATTTTTGAATTACACACTTCCTACATCAGGCGGGTGGTTGTGGTATGGTATACTTGGTGTCCTTTGAAAGTGAAATTTTGGGTTTGAAGACAAGGGTGGTGACATAAAATGTGTCACTGTTGAAGTTTCTTGATAGTGATGGGGAAATTTTGTATAGGTAATACTTGCTATGTTGGATTTTGGATTGCTGTGGTGGTCAGCTGTAGTATTTGTGCTGCGGAAGTGTAGCTCGTGTTGAATGTGCTCCACTTCCAATCCTCATGTTTTTCCTTGATTATTTTTTAGGTTGGCTTGGTGGGCCTGGTGTATATTGTTATGGTGAGGGTGGTGATACTGTGCTGATTTTATGAGGTTGTAGTGATTGGAGGGAGGATTGGTGTTTTGGCAATCTGTATCTCTTGCTTTTTTTTGGTGTGAAGATCTGGCTACTTTTTCATTATTCTACGACCTTTTTCACTTGACTGGGTAGAGTAGAGTAGAGTGGAGGGTTGCATTGTGTCCGGGTAACAATGATATCAATATGAGATAAAGGGTGTACTTGTTTGATCATATCTAAAGAGCTCAAAAGCTCAATTTGAGAACTATGAATTATTTTTTGACTTTATTCCGTTGAAACTTGGTATTCATATCGGACATTATGTTTGAAGTTTTCATTTTTTGAAGCTTCTCATAAATAGCTCCCGTTTGAGCCCCATTTTGGGGAAAAACTGTATTTTTGAATAGCATTTTTTGGAGAATGTGTGGTTCAAAAATAAAAAAGGTTTTCGGCTTAGGTGTAAAATTATTTTATTGGAGAATGTGTGATTGAAAATGAGTGTTGAAAAAATGAGTTTTTGATAAAATGGGGCTCAAACAAGGTCTCGTTGTCTTATATTTATTATGATAAATTATGACGTCAAGGGTGTCGAATCAAAGAAAGAAATGCTTGGGAGGAAAGACAGAGCATTAAAATGACCCCAAAAATAATTAGCTGGAACGTGAGGGGGCTTAATGAAGCGAGGAAAATGTTATGTGTTCGAAATCTTCTAAGAGGATGGAGGGTTGACCTTGTTTGCTTACAAGAAACTTAGTTGGAGTCCGTCTTAAGGGCTATGGTGAGCAGTTTATAGGGAGACAACATGTCGGGTATCAACATGTGGGGTCATTATGGGCTTCAAGAGGTGTGCTAATCATGTGGGACACGAGAGTTTTTGATATGGAAGAAGTCAGTGAAGGGCTATTTTCTTTATCGCTTTTGTTTAGAAATATTGGGAATGGATTTCGTTGGATGTTTATAGGAATTTGTGGGCATAATGTTGATGAGAGTAGAGGTATATTGTGGGAGGAGTTGGCTGGGATGATGGCTTGGTGGAACATTCCAACGTGCATTGCGGAAGATTTTAATGTGATTTGGTTCCCTGCTAAGAGGTCTAGCGATGGGAGATTAACAGGGGCAATGGAGGAGCTCTCAGATTTTATCGGGGAAAATATGTTGTCATAAAAAAAAAAGGGAAAATATGTTGGTGGACGTGCCTTTAATTGGAAGAGACTATACTTGGTCTTCTAATCGGGATCAACCCGCTCTATCTTGAATAGATCGATTTTTGATTAGTGAGGAGTGGGAGGAGAAATACCCGAAGGTCACTCAAAGAAGATTAGGGAGAGTGTATTCTGATCATTTTCCTATTTTGTTGTTCGGGAATGTGAGGTGTAGTGGAAGAAGGCCTTTTAGGTTTGAGAATACGTGGTTAAAAGTTGAAGGCTTTAGGGAGCGTGTGCGAGATTGGTGGACATCTTATGATTTCAAAGGGTCTCCCAGCTGTTTCTGGACCAAAAATTGAAAGCCTTGAAGAGAAATATAAAGAAGTGGAACGAGGAGGAGGTGGGGGGATGTTAATTGGAGCAAAAATCAATGCATTTTAGATATAGAAGAGCTGGTTAGGAGAGAGGAGAGTCAATGATTGGTAGGGGATGAGAGAGAGAGACGTGGAAATTTAAGGGTAGAGTTGGAGAGGTTGGTGAAGATGGAAGAAATAGCTTGGCTTCAGAAATCTATGGTCAAATGGTTGAAAGAGGGGGACAAATGTACCCAATTTTTCCATAAGGTCGCTAATTCCAACAAGCGTATCAATTCTATCACTATGTTGGAGGTTGATGGAGTTACTTATGAGGACCCACAGGACATTGAGACTCAAATGATGAGTTTCTATCAAAATCTTTATAGGGAGTAGTTTGACTGGAGGCTTGAGTTGGAGGGGTTAGATTTTTCTACTATCACTGAGGAGGATGTTAGCTAGTTAGAGAGACCATTTGGGGAGGATGAAATTCAGGAGGTAGTGTTCAGCAAGAATGACGATAAGGCACTAGCACAAGACGGATTCTCCTTTTCATTTTATAAGGCTTGTTGGGAAGTGGTGCGGCCGGACACTATGGAGGTATTTACTTATTTCTTTCAGTGGGGCAGGTTCTTGGGAAATTCTAATGCTACATTTATTGTGTTGATTTAGAAAAAATCTGGAGTGTCGGATATTAAAGACTTTCGTCCAAACAGCTTAGTAAGTTGGTGTACAAGATTATTGCAAAGGTTCTGGCAAATAGGTTAAAGGAGGTATTAGGGAAAGTGGTTTCTAAATTTCAAAATGTGTTTGTCAAAGGGCGACATATATTGGATTTCGTACTTATAGCAAACGAATGTATTGACTCGAGATTGTGAACAAGGATTCCAGGGATGTTATGTAAGCTTGATGTTCAGAAAGCATACGATCACGTGAACTGTGGATTCCTTTTGTATATGCTCAGGCGATATAGCTTCGGGGATAAATGGTGCCGATGGATTTAGTTTTGTATCTCTACGGTCTCCTTTTCAGTTTTGATGAACGACACTCCCGAGGGTTATTTTGGAGCAGCAGGGGTTTGAGGCAAGGGGATCCTTTGTTTCCATTGCTGTTTGTTATCGTTATGGAGGCTTTCAGTAGGATGTTTGAGAAGGTTGTGGAGGAGGGTTTGTTGAGGGGCTTTATGGTTGGCTAATTGCGGATATCTCATTTGTTATTTGCAGACGACACATTGATCTTATGTGATGCAGATGCTGAGCAATTCAGGAACTTACGTCATCTGCTTCTAAGCTTTGAAGCTGTATTTGGCTTGAAGATAAATTTGGGAAATTTGAGGATATCACAGTGGGAGATGTCGACAACGTGGAGGAGTTGACGGCCATATTGGGTTGTAAGGTTGCGTAGCTGCCCATGTCATACCTTGAGCTCTCCTTAAGAGCACGTTTTAAGAGTATAAACATTTGGAACAACATTGTGGAGAGGGTGGAGAGAAGGTTAGCGGGTTGGAAGCATATGTACCTCTCAAAGGGAGGACTTCTTACCCTCAATAAGTCCAACCTATCGAATCTCCCTACTTATTTCTTGTCATCCTTTCCAATTCCCATCTCAGTGGCAAAAAGATTAAAGAGGATTCAACGGGAGTTTTTATGGGGAGGAGAGGAAACTTCACTTGGTTAATTGGAGTGCATTTGTTCTCCCCTAACGACGAAAGGTCTCGAACTGACGAGACTCGTACTGCTTAATAAAGCTTTGCTGGGTAAGTGGTTATGGCGATTTGGCGTGGAGAGGGAGAGCCTTTGAAGAGGAATTATAGAGGCGAAATATGGTGTTATGGAGGGGAATGGTGTTCAGTCGTAGATCGTGATTTTTATGGGGTGAGCTTATGGAGGTACATCCGACGAGGGTGGAGACTTTCGAAATAGATTGACGTATGTGGTGGGGAATGGCAATATTATCAGATTTTGGAAAGATTGCTGGTGTGGATATCGAACATTAAGAGTGGAATTTCCTTCTCAATATCGTGTTGCTTTGAGTCCATCTGCTATGATGAATGAAGTCTTACATATACATAATGGAAATCTGAGTTGGAACATTGTTTTTGGGAGGAGTTTACAGGATTGAGAGTTGGATGATTATGCGCTGCTGTTGACCTTATTGTATGAAGTGCACATCAAGGTAGGAGAGACTGATTGTAGAAGGTGGAGGTTAACACGAGATGGTACCTTCTCAGTTGGCACTTATTTTAGATCCTTATTGGAGTCTGTGGAGAGCTCATTCCCTTGGAAGATGGTATGGAAATGTAAACTACCTCCTCTGGTGGCATTTCTACTATGGACGGTTGTGAGAGACAAGTGTTAACAGTGGATAACCTCCAAATAAGGATTTTTATGTTACGGAATTGTGCTATATGTGTGGGAAGAATGGGGAGACGATCAACCACTTGCTTCTTCATTGTAAAGGTGCTCGTTCCCTGTGGGACGATATTCTGGCTTCTTAAACACATGAATTGGGCATTTCCGTGACGTATGGAGGATGTACTGAAAGCATGGAGGAGAAAATTTTGTAATAAGGATAGCACACTTGTTTGGAATCTTACTCCAGGATGCATCGTCTCGTATGTGTGGAGGGATAGAAATAGCCGCTGTTTTGGTAATCATACACAGACAACTGAACAAATTAAAAAATTGTTTTATATGACATTATATACTTAGTTTAATGTTGTGACTTCTACTCGTATAGACGGGTTGCCTAATTTTAAGTTGTTTCTTTCTTGTATTAATTGATAATACACTGTCTGTATATTATACGTGATTAATAAAATATTTGTTTACCTGTAAAAAAAAAAAAATATTTATTATGATACTTGTTTGTTGAACATCTTCTGCGATATTAAATTGATAATTTAAGTAGATATGTCGAAGCATATGCATATTACGAATAAGGCTTCACGTTCATTTCTTTCTAATTGTGGTTTGCTTATGATTTTTTTTTCTTATTTTATAAATTTATAGCTCCTTTGAGTTTGGAACTTGCAGGATCTCACTGTCATATTATCAACACTTCTTCCAGTTATTTACATCCCTAATGAAAGCAAAGAGCATTCACATTTCTCAGTGGGACTGAAGGTGGTGTTTGTTTATGCATTTAAACTGTCATTTCATTCATTTCTTAAGTGTATGCTGAGCACATTATTCTTTCTTCTGAGGCCATGATATAAAATATTTATTTTGATTTCTGAAGCTTTAGAATTTTTCTCCCCATTAGGTTGCTTTTCACTCTGGAAAATGTTTTTATTTCTGCTTACTATTTCTGTCTTTTTTTCCCCTTCCAGTTGACGAATGACAGTATAAACTTCTTTATGGCTTTCCTTTTGACAAATTTTATTGTCCTAAAGTAATATAGACGGAGTCATCCATAATCTCGTGAGTGATAAGGAATCTCTTCATCATATGTGCATGTTCTTATTTTCATCACCTTATCCTGTTCCTCACCTTTTCTGGTTCCTTCCTTGAGTAATAGGAGCTTTTAGGGGAAATCTCTGTTTTCTGTATTTTCTGAAGTTAGTTTATATTTTTGCCTCAAAATAATACTGCTTTTGTTTCAATTATTAATCTATTGCTCAGTTTGTTGTCTTCTCTTAGCCCTTGTTTGAGCCCCATTTTTTTCCAACAAAATGCATTCTTCAACAGTGATTTGACCCTGCTTTAACCACACATTTTTCAATAAAATAATATTACACGCAAATTCAAGGCTTTTTATTTTTATTTTTTAACTACGCATTTCCCATCAATACATTATTCAAAAATGCATTTTTGACAAGAATGGGGGTCAAACAAGGTCTAATTTATTTATTCATTTTTATGTTCTGCACATGGTGGTTCTTCTGTATCTGCACATTCTTTCATTTTATCAATCAATTACGAATTTATGTACTTGTTGTGAATTACAGACCTATAACGAAGTTCAGCATTGTTTTCTGACAGTGGGTTTAGTGTACCCTGAGGATTTATTTGCGTTCCTTCTCAATGTAAGTAGTGCTGCTGGCAAGTTTAGTTGGTGCAAGTTCTAATGTCACTAGCCTTAATTACCTATTCAAAAACATAAGTTATGCACTGCACTCCTGCCCTCTTGCAGAGGAAGAGAATTATAACTGAATGAGTGTCAATATCTTAGCTAATTTGTGTGAGAACAATAACTTTTGAATCGTTTGTAATTTGTCCGTTGCTCCTGATAGAAATGCAGGTTGAAAGAAGACCCACTCACTTTTGGTGCACTGTCTGTCTTAAAACATCTTTTGCCGAGGTTCCTTTTCATTCCTAAGTTTTGAATCTTAATCTCATTCTTTCACTGCCTGCCTAACGCATCCATCCATTCTGAAGATTGTCTGAAGCTTGGCACAGTAAAAGGCCCATGTTAATTGAAGCTGTGAAGATGTTATTAGATGAACGCAATTTGGCGGTTCGCAAGGCACTTGCAGAGGTAGCTTGATATGAGAAAAAAACACACTCTTTGCCTTTTCTTTTCAGAATTAATAAAAAATTCTTTTGATTTTTTATGGTCCGTCATCGTGGTTGTAGTTAATCGTCGTTATGGCTTCCCACTGTTACTTGGTTGGTCCACCAGGAGAATTATTTGTGGAATATTTAGTACGTCACTGTGCACTGTCGGATCTGAAGAGGGATGTTGTTGAAGGTTCCAAGGACTATTTTGGGTCAACCAGCTCTTACCATCCTTATTCTTACAAGAAAGTGGAGGTTTGTTCTGTGCTCAAAATGCATAAGATATTCTGTCTGACTGCAGTCTGCATATATGCCTTACTTTATGTGGTTAATCAACTTCATTTTTGATAAACAGACCCAAAAGTGCTACATGTATTATCATTTTTCTCTCCCTTGCCTTCTGTTGGAAAAAGAAACTGAAAAAGAGAAAATAAAAAAGATTCAAATTCACCTTTTCATTTAGAATGGCAAAGTACTGTGTTAATTTCAGTATAACTAAAATTTTACTATGCTTCTAAAGTGCAATCTCCATCAATCTAAATAGAATGCCAAGGTACTGTGTTAATTTCAGTATAACTTTACCGTAGGACATCAGTGTTATCCCTTGCATATAATGATTGTGTGAATTATGTTCCTTGTAAAATAATTTCTTTCCATATCTCATTTGCAGACAAAGATTGGAACAATATGTCCATCAGATTTACAAGTAATTTGTGAAAAGGGTCTTCTTTTAATAACTGTTACCATTCCTGAAAGGGAGGTATGGTTCACTGTTAATTGTATGGGTTAATTTCCAGTTAACTATTCTGTGTCTGTCTTTTTCGTAAAAGTCCCCCCGCTAGCCAACTATTTTTAACAGGTTTGCAGATGCATCTCTGAATTGTGCAGACATAGATCTTTGCAGATTAATACACTGCTTTCAGACTGTAAAGCTCGTGCTGATATTCCAAAACCAGAGGTTTGGTTTCCCATCTTTTGGGTACCCATGTGAAGCATCTTGTCTTCTTTGCGATAAAAATGTGAAACAGCCTTTTGTGGTTATGGACTTCAGGAACTTTTTGCCCGTCTTGTGGTGCTTCTACACAATCCTCTGGCGAGGGAGCAGTTGGCTACTCAGATTCTAGCTGTAATTCTTTTTTATCTTTGCTTTGTTGCACAAAAATTACATTTTTACTAACTAGTAAATTTAATTGTATAATATTACTCAATTCATCATCTTTGTTTGGGAATCAAATGTTTGATAATTAGTCTTAAGTTCAAGGAGTAATTGCAGACAAGCAAGCTGAGGTCTGTAGTATAAGCGTTGAAAGAGCTTTGGACACTTCACTTTAGATTGAAGGATCTGTTTCCATCATGATATCTAGGGTATAGTACATAAGTCAACTGTAGAGGAATGGTTTACACGTACATTATCCAACTGTAGAGGAATCGTTAACACATTAGTGATAACACATGATTAGCATTTCGCTTGATAAATATTTTTTTTAAGAGTATAAACAATTTTCATTTTTGAGTAGATTTGCTTAACAAACCAAAATTTTTAAGTTCGCATTGTCCTGTATATGCAAGAGAGTGGTGAGGAGCTTATGAGGATTTGATCCATAATTTTTTCCTATATTAGTTGGATGTCAAAGCAAATCGAATGCTTTCTAACTACGTTGAATCCGTCTACCTTAAGTACTCAGTTTTTTAAGCTCTAGATATGAACTTGAACATTTGGTTGGATAAATGATGGATAAAGTTAAAGTAACTTTTTGATGCTCATTCGCTGTGTCTATGATGGTATATTAAAGAAAGTATAGGAGAAATAAAATTAAACAAGATTATACAGCTCATAAATGAGGAAAGGTGTAAAATACATGTTTCTTAGCAAGGACTCAAAGATTTCTGAATGGGAAAAGATTGAACGAAGGGGACAATCAATTGGAAAAAAGAGTCTGCAGATCTAGATTCTGGAAGAACAAAAGTCAGGTGAAGAGAGGATGGAGAAGAAGAGTACATTATTAACTTGTCTTATGAGGAGTATTTTGAATTTGCATCACTAACTACAACATTTGGTTTGCCAATAAGTAGGCTTCAGAAAATCAGCCTACAGATACAGTAGGTTGCTGTATTGTATTTCCTCACATCTTGTAATTTCTCACTAGAAGTTCAAAATCTGGTTTTATTGATTATGAACTGTTTAGAATCTAAAATTGAGTCTAATTATTATAAATGCTGCTAGATTGTTCGCTTGTAGGTTCATGTGGTGGTATCAATGGCATGAAAAAGAAGAGTGAATCACACTTAAAATACTATACTTGGGAATACTTCTCACTTTTGAGTCTGTACTTGGATGGTGAGATGAAAATTCTAAACATAAATATATAAATGCAAATTTCAATTAAATAGTGGGCAACCTTGCAAAATGAAGAAATTAGGATTGTTAGGAGTTATTCATGCAATGATGAGAATGAACAGAAGGCTTGAACAAAGTTTATCATGGCCAACCTTCACTCTTTGGTGCTTTTTCTTAATTTCCAAGATACTTTGGTCGAGGACTCCAAAATGCCTAATTGATAGGTCCTTTTCTGAGGGGCCAGGTATGGGAGATAAGGTGCCTACATGGAATCCAACTGTTATACCATTTGCTGATTATCTTAGCAATGTAACTGAACTGAACCATGTCTGGCTTCTAACCAAATTTTGGTTTTCCAAAGCTACATAGATATATGGGTTGCACCGGCATTCATAGTAGTGAGGGAAGTATTGTTTGTGAAAGAAGAAAGTTATTGAATTGGTGAGAGTCTATCTTCATTTGGGTTCAGGATTGAATGAGCTACCCAGAGATTTACTTCCTACTATTATTTACATTGTGGCCTACTCAATTGGTTGCCTGAAAGTATATGATTCTATATGGGCCAATTAGCTTATGAAAAATTGTAGCTTTACATACTGCGTGACAGACTATATACAGGTTTCCCTTCCTACTGCGTTTTTAGTTTGCTTTTAAACTAATGTAGTATACCTGGAATGTATTTCTGACGCTCAGATTTCTATTTGTGACCTTTAAGTCTACAACCTACCGAGCATCAGTATTTACATAAAACAATAGTTCATTTCTAATGGCAATTTCTTCTGTAAGCTGAGCTGCAGATCAATTATTAATAAGACTTCTAAATTATTTTTCTGATTTGAAAGACAAATGATCGTTTTCACTTTCTTTTTTGCAGGTCTTGTTTTATTTATCACCTCTCTTTCACAAGAATATTACCTTATTTTGGCAAGATGAGGTAAGCTCATTAAACTCTGAGGTGATGTTTTAGTGTTTACTTTTAATAGTTGATTATGCTTGTGTTAATAATTTTTCTTTCCCTATATCAAAGTGTAGAAGATCATAACACTAAATAGATTAGCATCTTTGAAGTCATGAATTTACTTCAAGATTAGGTTTGTCTTTCTTGATAAAGTAAGATTGGAGATATAGAATTAGGAAAGGGAGGGGAAGGGACATATGGCAGAACCCTGAACCCATAGCACCACAGATGAACTTCAAGTACCAACTGCAAAATGCCTAGATTATGAAAGAGTTGGACTCTTCAAGTACTAGTGGAACTCCTTTTGCCTTTTAATGTGAAACACCTCTTTTGATATTTTTCTATGACTAATTAGTCCAGTGGTAAAAATTGGGGAAACAGCTAAAGTTCTGGCCATTCAATCACTTCAGAAGTTATTAGGATTGGCATTTTGCTCATGTTCTGATGTTATATAATGGCCAAACCTCTTAAAACTTTTACACGGATGATTTTGCTATATGTTCTTTTAGTTAAGGCTTTATTATTTCTTGGTCTAACTGATTTTCTTGTTCTGCAAGCTCTAGATTCCAAAAATGAAAGCATATGTGAGTGATCCGGAAGATCTTAAGCAAGATCCATCTTATCAGGAGACCTGGGATGATATGATTATTAATGTAAGCTCTACCATTTCTTGATTAAGCCACTAGTAAAATATCTTCCTTATAGATGCAGAGCTTGGGCAAATAAATTACCTTGTCAGAACTGGATTATGCATAGTACACCTTAAATCTCATATCTTCTAAGCATCAAGCTCGATTTTGTCAATAATTAAGCGCTTCAGAAAATTTCTGGAGTGATCAAGTTTGTCAATTAGCACTATTCATAGGCTTTCATTCTGTTGAAGTCACAAAACAAGGAAGGATTTTTACTTTAGATGCTTCGATGATCTCAGGTTTAATGATGGAAAGGGACTCCAAGTTTCCCTCTCAACATTTGCCACTCATATATTTTTATTTGTGGGTGACAGTTTCTGGCAGAATCTTTGGATGTGATTCAAGATGATGATTGGGTGTTCTCTCTGGGAAATTCTTTTGCTGAACAATATGAACTCTATGCATCTGACGATGAGCACTCTGCATTGCTTCACCGGTAATTGTATCTTTCTTTATACCTTGTGTTCAAAATTGGGACCCAAAGTCTCAGTATATTTCTAATTTGTAACTCTCTGTTTTGAGGATGAGCAATGCTGTTAGTGGCATTAACATTGCTTCTTTTTTGTTTTTCTTAGTTTTACAACATTTTTGAATTTCTTAATCATGTAAATAAACGATTTTTGTGATGCTAGGATGTGAACTGGAATCTATGCTATATGATTTATTGCCTTAGGATCAAAGTCCAATGGCCCCTTGTAGATTTATATTTAATTTGTATATTCTGTGGACTAAATCTTTTATTATTTCTTTACCACGATTTTTTTCGCTCCAAAATGTTAGATTCTCTTTCTAGGTGCAATCCAAAAAGGTGATTATGTGCTGTTAAATTGAGCAGCTGGTGGACTGCTAATCTTGTTAAATAAAACAATGTTAACCCTCATATGTAAAAAATCCTCATATTTCCTGCTCAGAAATGTAGGGCTACACGAACTGTGCATTAGTCTGTTTGGATTTTTACCAGTGGCGAGCTTTGCTACGGAAAGAGATAATAAAACACAATTAAGCTACTGACACATAAAAATTCTCTTTCTTGCTAATTGGTTCCAACCCTTTTGCTGGTATTCATTTTTGTTTATTAATTTTTGAAGCTTTAGAATTGTGATGGAAATCTTTTAACTAAAAGTTGCTTGTTTTCATCATACTTCTGGAGTCTGCATTTATTTTTACAACAGATGTGCCTATTGCAAATTACAATACCTTTTTCTTGTCCCCATCTGAAATTTTTTTATGCCACACCTTTCCGTGTTAAGACATTTTTTTTACTTAGATTTCTAGTCTGTTTTCTCTCTCTTGTTGTTTACTTTATGTGTAACTTGTTTGTTTTTGACAGAAAGAAATTGTCCCAAAGTAAATATTCCACTTTTCTATTTATCGTACTTTCATAACTAAAAAGATATGATCGCTCATACCATTTGATAGGCATCATACCTTGGATAGATAAGGCATCATGATACCCATGATTTGGGAGGCAGAAAGATCTACTTTTTACTGCTTATGATATGGGGATTGTTAGCACCAGGCACAACATCTTACAAAGGATACGATTATAATAAATGCAAAAAATACAGTATGTTGCAACTCCTACTAAAATAATCATGCCAAGTCAAACCAACACATCAAATAGGAAGGGGGGAGAATATCATAGGTCACATAGAATCAACTTTTGTTGTATTGAAGCTAAACCTTGTACCAGTAATGTTATTTTAAGATTACAATCCTTTTATGATTTTAGAGTCTTGAATTTGAAGTTAGTCCTACGTTGTTTGAGGCTCATAAATATTCTATTGCTTCTTTATCTGACTAAAGTACACAATCTAGTGCTTTATATTATTCCTGTGTATGTTTTTCATGTATCAGTATCATGTGTCTGGTGCCGTGATAATACATGAAATGCGATGGCAAGCCAAGTACTTTTATTCACTAATCCTTCTGTACATGCTATATCATCAGTACCAGTTCCCAATATCTTGCTTTTTTGTTCACACTTGTGCAGTAATAAATTGTTAGATGGTTTGGTGCTTAAATAATCAATTACTACTCTTTTTGGAGCAGGTGTCTTGGTATTTTGCTACAGAAAGTGCATGACAGAAGTTATGTTCGTGCTAAGATTGACTTAATGTACAGGAAAGCTGACATTGACTTTCCAGTTAATAGGCTTGGTTTGGCAAAAGCAATGGGATTGGTAACTACTTCAACTTAGATTGTCAAACTTTTTAACTTAATTACTCCCAAGTGGAGGGAACAAGACTTGCGATTTTTTAAGCTGACTCTTCTAGAGTTAAATGGTACTTATAAGTTGCTTCTCTACCGACTTCCAGGTTGCTGCATCCCACTTGGACACTGTCTTGGATAAGCTAAAACATATTCTTGATAATGTTGGTCATAGTATCTTCCAAAGGTACATTCAAGGCTTACAGGCTAGTTTTTTATTTCGTCTTTCGCATCCTATTATCGAATTCTAGGTGATTTAAATTGCCCCTGCTATACTTTCTGCATACATGTAAGTGATAAATCCATTGTCGATGTTAAATTTCTGCCATTACATCTTTTTATTGCTGGAGACAAGATTACAGGTAAGCGATGAATATATTATTCAGAGATTATGGTTGGATCCTTGCCATTGAGGTTGTACGAGTCCACTTTTGATGCATTAGAAAAATTTAGGTTGCAACATGTTAGAAGAGATGGATCTGTAGTTTAAGGCTTTAAGCACTCTATATTTAGTTTTTAGTTCTATTTGAGATATATAACACTCTTGGTAGTATAAAATGAATCATCGCACTTCAGGTTTCTTTTTTCTCTATTTATTTATTTATTATTATTATTATTTTTTTGCGCGATATGAAATGTTTTATGTTGTACTGAGTTCATAATCACCAGCTTATTTAACCGAAAAATCTCGGTATCACATACATTTAAATACATGGGTCATGCTTTCTCTGTATTTTATTTTAAATAATGTGAACTCTTTCTATTGCAGAATACTGTCTTTTTTCTCGGATAGAACCAAAATGGAAGAATCGGACGATATCCATGCTGCTTTAGCTCTTATGTATGGTTATGCTGCAAAATATGCTCCATCAACAGTTATTGAAGCGCGAATAGATGCACTCGTGGTATAGCTTCATGCTCTTTGAGTCTCTTGTGGATTTATTGTACTTGTCCACATTCCATATATGATATGAACTGTTTCATCAATCTCCATTTTCTTTCACTTTCCCCTGTGAAGTAGTCTAACATTTACTTATGCTTCCAAATATTACACATTTGTCAAACTCATAAAGGAATTTTTTTATTTTTATTATTATTTTTTTTTCACTTTCCTGAGAGTGGATGCACCTTCTTCTGGCAGTTGAATGTACCTTGAAAGTATACCATTTGTGAACTTTAAGAGTGTACTTCAACCTGATGAATGTTGATTCTATTGATATGCTTTCATTTTGACTGGGTACTACCCCTCTTATTTGCAGGGCACTAATATGCTTTCTCGTCTTCTTCATGTACGCCACCCTACAGCGAAGCGGGCAGTTATCACTGCCATCGATTTATTAGGTTTGTCTAGTCCTTCAAATATCATTTGGCACTGTTTCTCCTTGTTATTGGTAGCTGCTGCACTACAATGAATTCTGTTTTATATAATTTAGAATATTGGTTCAACGTCTATGCTGAACATGCCATGTGGACTATGTATCATGAGACTTTTGGTAAAAAGGAGTTTATGGGTATAAAACATTTCATAATTCTACTTAAAATCTATTGGTCTTCCCAAAATGTTGGTTGTCTTTTTTGGAGTTTCTTCATAGGATGAATTTCTATGTACACCTTTAGAAACAATAAGAAAGAAAAGAAAAAGGGCAAAAAGCGCATAGCCCTATTTCAGATGCCGACCGTTCTGTGTTGATTGTTAGGAGAATAGCTTCTATACTCTTCGAAAAATAAGAAAACAAAAAACACGCAGCAAGAGAATCATAGTCCAATTGTAGACAGGCATTCTCACTTCTGTATGTATACCACTTATTATGGGTAAAATTTAGCTGCCACAATAGCATAAACAATGGTGCATGTCCTCCCAAATACAGACCGTATAATAGTGACTCTCCATAGCTGTCCTTACTTTCAGCTAATCATGTAGGGTCTGGAAGTGATAAATTATTACCATTTCAGGTCAGTCTGTCATTGGTGCTGCAGAAAGTGGTATATCGTTCCCATTGAAAAGGAGAGATCAATTACTGGACTACATATTGACATTAATGGGTCGAGATGATGAAGATGCATTTTCTGAATCTAATCTTGAGCTCCTGCACACTCAGGTTTATGGTTCCCTTGAATTGTGAATTATTAGTTTCTGCTGCATCTTCTATGTTGAACACTAAAATAAATTAATGTCCCTTCCCTAACAACTTAAGCTTCTGTGGTGGTAAAATATGGTAGCAAAGCATGCTAAAGACCTGGGTTCAAGTGTAGCCATCACCCATTTATAAATATAGTGCATGTGTGAGGCCTTTGATAAAAAATGGATCCACCCAGCATGTGAGTGGGCATCGAAGAGTAATATTAAAAAATAAATGTGTTTCCTCTTTAAACTGCGCAAACTTTAGATAAAGTATTTTCCCTTCAGTTTTTCTAATTTTGGATGTTCACGTGCAGTCTATTGCTTTAAGAGCTTGCACTACTTTAGTTTCTGTGGAGCCAAAACTGACAAATGAAACAAGAAATCTGGTTCTGAAGGTGCAACTTAGTGCCATTATTCATTACTGCAAACATTATATGCTTAATTTTTCACATATTTTTCATTTTGACAGGCCACATTAGGTTTCTTTGGTCTACCAAATGATCCTCCTGAGGTTGTCAATCGACTTATTGACAATCTAATTGCTCTGTTATGTGCAATTCTGGTTATGAGGTACTTTTCTTTTTTGCAAAGATATCTCGCATAACTTTCTGGTAGATGGTGTCCTGTCTAAATTTACCACACAACATTCATTTATGCCTGATTACATTGCTGTTCTTTTTCAAAAAAGTTAACTTTTATGCTTAATTTACCAATTTGTCGGCAGATGGCTAGAATCATGAATAGAGTTTCATACATTTCACCTGCAAGCAAGGAATGGTCAAAAGATAGCGTCTGGCAATATCTGAAATCTGCGAAATGTCCTTAAAGTAACCTGCACTAATCCCCAAAAAATGGCTACTTTAAACCAACTTTTATCCAGTTAGCAACAGAAAGAAATACCAATGGTTATCAGATTATTTTGGGAGATGATAATTAGATTGACCAGCAACATACTCTATTCTGTGCGCAACACATTTTGCATATGCATAAGTTGTAAGACAAGTTGCATTTTATAGGCAGCATACAAATTTTTGAAGACAACATTTTGAAGTTAATGGAATTGAATTTATAGCTCGAAGATATTTCTTGATTATGGATGTAAGCATGTTCTAGGACATCAATATGACTCTTTTGACTAGTTATTTTAATCAGTGGAGAGGATGGACGAAGTCGCACAGAACAGTTACTAAATATCTTGAGACAGATCGATTTATATGTTTCCTCATCAGTTGAATATCAGAGGAAAAGAGGTTGTCTTGCAGCTCATGAGATGCTTCTCAAGTTTCGTAGAATTTGTGTCAGTGGATTCTGTGCACTTGGTTGCCAGGGAAGTTGCACACACAGCAAGCAATTTCACGGTGCTCTGAATCGCAATATTTCAAATTTACCAAGTCAGTCTCTCTAGCTCTGTCTAAGATAGCCTTTCTGCCTTTGATTTCTTTCTTAACCTCATGCCTTGCCTGTTTGTCAGCTGCATTTCTATCACCAAGTCGCGATGCTTTGTGTTTAGGTGAGAGGATTATGGTATACCTTCCACGCTGTGCTGACACAAATCCAGAAGTTAGAAAAGTCTCTGCTCAGGTCTGTACTTGGATGAATGACTAGCATTGTCCACTAGGTTTATGGGTTAAAACAAAAGATTTACAAATATATTTTTCTGGGATATTTTTTTTTATTGATCTCTAACTTGTCAAATGGTTTAGCATATAGATGATATACTATTTGATTATCATCTCCATCATCATGATTTCTTGATTGATGTGTTTTTTCTCAAGATCTTTTCTTCCTCTTATTACCCTCAACCAAAAACTAAAGAATAAAAAAATCTCTGACAAAATGCTCTTTTTTCCTTGCATATCCTTATTTATTTCCCTCTCATGTCTCTCTTTCTTAATCTTGCTTTTCTGACCTTGCAGATTCTTGATCTTTTTTTCAGCATATCTCTATCACTACCAAGGCCTGTAAACACTATTGTTGGACTTGATATAGAATTGTGTTATAGTGCTTTGTCCTCCCTTGAGGATGTCATTGCTATCTTAAAAAGTGTAAGCCTATTCATAATTCTCTCGTTTATAATTTTTTGTTTATAATTTTAGCTTGAAGTAAGGGAGAAGGAAAGCATAGGTTGTTTTTGTAGTCATACATTTCTTTTCCTATTATTTGAATATTTTATTTTGCATCCCACTTGTTATTGTGTTTGTAGGATGCCTCAATTGATCCGTCAGAAGTATTCAACAGGGTTGTTTCATCTGTTTGTACATTATTTACTAAGGATGAGGTATGGATCTATCTGTACCTATGAAAAGTTTCCATGGACAGGGATAGTTGAAAACTTTAGACAAGACCTCATGCTGTTGCCAATCAATTGTACAGCTTGTTGCTGCTCTACATGTTTGCTCAGGAGCTATATGCGACAGAATCAAACAATCTGCAGAAGGAGCAATTCAGGCTGTGATTGAGTTTGTTACGGATAGGGGGAAGGAGCTGAACGAGTCTGATATTTCAAGGTGGTGTCCAAGAATTATTTGATATTTGTAAAGTTGGGAGGATTGGTTTGTTTCTCGTTTATTTTCCTCCAGGAGATAATAAATTTGAATTTGTTTTAAATATGGTGCATATGTATATGCCAACAGGACGACACAATCTTTGCTTTCTGCTGCAGTTCATGTGACTGAGAAGTACTTGCGTCAGGAAACTCTTAGTGCTGTATCCTTTCCATCTGTATTAATTATCCAGTGAAGCCAGTTATTAGTACTACCACGTGCCCTTTTTATTGTTGATCTTAGCTCAATAACAATGATTCAAAGCATTCAGTTTCATTGCTGTCAGTGGTTTCTTTAATTCCAGAAGATCTGCTCTCTGGCTGAGAACACCAGCTCAATAATTGTTTTCAATGAAGTATTAGCTGCTGCTGGAAGAGATATAGCCACCAAAGATGTATCCAGACTACGTGGTGGCTGGCCAATACAGGAAGCCTTCTATGTGAGTCTCATTTCTTGGTCATTTAGTGTCTTTAAGTGGGTTCTTACATCTTTGCTTGACATTTTTTTAATTACTGTTTGGCGTGTTTGCAAGGTGCAAGATAGTGGGTCCTCCCTCACTATTACTTTGCACAGTAGATTCCCCCTTCAACAGTTTTTATTGCTTTTATCAGAAAAAAAATGTCTAATACTGGAATTACCCTTCAAAAAGTACATTGATTATATCTTAAACCCCATTGTCAAATGCTCCCCCAAAGGTCTCTAAATTTTACATAAAGAACTAACCTTTCTCTTCCACTGTTGCTTACAAGAGACATCGTGATTAGCTGATACTTTGACAACTAACTTCAAATACATATTTTTGTGACAAATCAGTAATCATCTGTCTGACCATGAATGATTGGTCTAATAACTTTCTTAGCCCCTATTTGGGTTTCATTATTCCACATTTTAATGAGGGGAATAGTAATTTTTTGAAAAATGTGTGGTTGAAAAAGAAGCAAAAGTTTTTAGATTTACGTGTAATATTATTTTATTGAAGAATTTGTGATTGATAAGAAGAAGGAGAAAAATGAAATTTAATTTAATGGGGGCCAGACGGGCTTAGTTCAGTAAAAAAAATTTCTGCAGAACCACCTGCAAGAATTAGGGGAGGCTGGTATTGCCATCAATCAACTGCCCCGTGCGCAATGTTTCTCTGCCCCTGCCCAATGTTGCACATTATATACCATATCATTTTTTTTTCTATTTATTTCAGTTTTTATTGTTTTGGTCCTGAGACGCTGATGATATATTTATATATTTTTTTTCATTTTCCTTTTCTTTTGGGGATAAATAGGCATTCTCCCAGCATGCAGTTCTTTCATATTCATTCCTGGAGCATGTAACTTCTGTTCTGAATCGGACACCTACCCTTAGACGTGAATCTGGAAAAGGAGAAAATAACAGCAATTATGTTGAAAGTCACGTAAAAGATGATGTTTGCCAGGCAGCTGTTATAGCTCTCACTGCATTCTTCAGGTCTCTTTTTAATGACATTATATAGTTTGTCATGTTTATTCTACAGCAATCAACATTTTTATCCTTGTTAATTGCAGAGGTGGTGGTAAAGTTGGAAAAAAAGCAGTAGAACAAAGTTATGCTTCTGTCCTCGCAACACTTGTGCTTCACTTGGGAAGTAGTCATGGTTTAGCTAATTCTGGCCAACAGGAACCTCTGCGGTATCTTACCAATTCACAAACATTGACACATGCCAGGCAATTGAAAATACTTTTTCAGTGTTTGTGCTATATTCTTTACATTCTCTACACTTGATTTCAGTGTGCTACTGGTTGCATTTACCGCCTTTTGCGAATGTGTGGGTGATTTAGAGATGGGAAAGGTACATAAGCCTAATAGTACTTTTGCAGCAGTGAATTGTTTGGTTTTTGAATTTTACATTGTACATATTGTATTGCAGATTCTGGCTAGAGATGGAGAAAATAATGATGACGAGAAGTGGATTGGTGTGATTGGGGACCTGGCGGGCTGCATTTCCATTAAACGACCAAAAGAGGTACCTATTCTAGTCAAACTTAGGTTATCTGCGTTGTTAAACTATATTGGTAATATGCCAAAGCCCACTCTTGCGAAGTCACCAATGCTATGAAAACTGAGTAATTTATTAATCTAACACTTTGAGCTCATTTATAACCCCGGGGTACGTTCAGGAATGAAGCTGTGTAGGTGCTTTAAAGTAATGGGGAATACTTTGGCACTGCGCGCTCGCGCGCGCGCGCGGGGGGGGGGGGGGTCCT